TACCCAATGTCAAATATAGTATAGGGAGTAAGGGCTCGGCCTTGAAAAATGTATAGGTCGTCACGCATCGATGACGTCACCATATACTTAATAGCCTCAAGCCTCTACTAAGTTTACCCTATTACTGACTTAATTGATATTAAGTTTTGAAATAACGTTTCTCTATGTAACTAAGTAACTAATATATAGAGAGAGTAATATGTTATAAACACGAAATTTAGTGAGTGTTGAGAAAAGATTTTTTAAGGTTACGTGTAATTTCCTACATTAATATTCCGACTTCACTGCCTAAATACTTTAGTAGTGGTACTAAGTATAATATCAGTAAGATGGCAAGATATGGCGCCATGGCGAAATATCGGCCAGGAAGATATTATTTTTTGTCATGTCTGTATCAATTTAATGAAACCATTTCACTCTAATCGAAAGTTTAATATTATAATATAATAAATTTAAATAAAATAAAACCATGTAAAAATAAAACACATCCATATTTTATAGATATATTATAAAATATACAGTCTGTACCCAATCACTATAAAGTTGCTAATGAAGTAAAACACATGTATTAAAATGAAGATGAAACTTTTAATAATTTTAACTTTTTAATTGAACTTACTTCAATCAATTAATATCAGATAATAGATACATATAACTATGTTGTATGTACATGACTTTTTTGGAGGTTTTACATGCAATCATGCCATCGAACTTTGACTTTCTTTTGGCATAACATGCTATCAGATCGCTGTCGAACCGTACCTGGCACTTTTCCAGAGAAGTGTATAATAAATAGCGAATCACGGGCGCCAGCCCGCCAACATAATACTAAGCGATAATGACGGAAATAGTGCACTTTCTGTAAAATCCGTTGCGTATGACACATGAAAACAAATTTAAACATCACTGATAATATTTATAAACTGAATATTTTACGAGCGACACATTCCGAACAAGTAATTTATTCAATAAACTAAATCTAGCACAAGATGAACCATAAAAACTATAAATAACTCTGTTATGCCTCTATTTTTCCAAGACTGATTTAGAATTTTTTTTAGATGTGCAAAACCCGCGAATGCTAAAATCGCGGTCGTCCAGTGCGAGGGCGTGGTAAACAATCTTGTATCTGGTATGCCGAGTACCTACTTCGCTCGATAAAAATATAGAAAAACAATTGTTAACCGAGCCACCTGTGGCTCGGCAGTCGCTGACAGGTTAATTTTTTTGTGATCTTTGAGTTCATACAAACTTTATTCCCCTTTGAAAGTCTAATTCGCGTGTGCGCGTAGACGCAAGTGCACTCTCTATAATCTATTCCTGTCACTCTCATACTCCGGTGGGACGACTACTCGACACGACCGGAGAGAGTTAAGGCGCAGGACCGACGGCTTTACGTGCTCTCCGAGGCACAGGGGTAAAACACCGCCAACTTCCTAGCTCCGGGCTGTTACTGAGGCTTACTATACAGAAAGACTCAATAACTACATTTGGCCCGACCCGGGACTCGAACCCAGGGCCTCCGGGTGTGCAGCCGTACATGCTAGCCACTACACCACTGAGGCAGTCAAAATATCGATAATAATTATACTATTTCAATAAGATTTTCCAAAAAAATATTTAATATAATAATTCGACGCAGTAAGAATTTTATTATATGTACTAGCATTGCCCGCGGCTCCGCCCGCGTTCAGGTGACCAAAAACCAAATTGTTAGGTTTTAAACTTTTATATATTAGTATACTCTTACATTGCAGTTTTTGTATTTTTTCTCAGAAATGAGACATTTTCCCGCGGTAAAAAGTATCCTATATGTTGACCCGGATAACCAGCCATCATCATACCAAATTTCATCGAAATCCCTCTAGTGGTTTTTCTGTGACGCGGTAACAGAAAGACAGACAGAAATTCTAAAAACTATAGATTCGGCCTCTGTATCGATAATAATGTCTATTTCAATAAGATTTTGGAAAAAAAATTATGTAGGTACAGATTCGGCTTATTTACAATTTTATTATATGTATAGATAAATAGATTTGCTAACTAGCTAGATAATACCTATAAAAACTAAAAAATGAGTACTCGAAATGCATTTTGGCGAACAAATTGCAAGGCTGACTTGATAAATTTTAATATGAATAGGTGTTATTTTTCCTGAATTTTAGCCTAGTCACTATTTAAGAACCAACTTAACCTTGTAGGAATTTCCCCTTAGTATGTGGAATTTCCACGGTTTTTTAATAAAATGGGCATTATCAGTATTCATTCATACATCTCATTTACAATTGTTTTATCATAAAGTTTGTACTAAAATATACGCATATTATGGCGTTTATCTCGACATGATTTGGTATTATACTTCATTTACTCTACAGAGATAAAGAGAGGAGAATATTATTGATTCGCTTGAGCATAATGTTAAAATCTAGTAAGCCGACATTGATGGAAAAGTTTTTCGTTTGAAAGCTATGATTAGACTTAAAAACTGCTATATAAAATAAAAACCGGGAAACAAATTAAAAAATAACCGTTGGAAACCGAGGCTGGTCGCAAAAAGTTGAATTTATTGTGTTGGGAAAAAAATATAGGTATGAGTAGATCTATATTCCTTATTCTAGTAAGCCGACATTGATGGAAAAGTTTTTCGTTTGAAAGCTATGATTAGACTTAAAAACTGCTATATAAAATAAAAACCGGGAAACAAATTAAAAAATAACCGTTGGAAACCGAGGCTGGTCGCAAAAAGTTGAATTTATTGTGTTGGGAAAAAAATATAGGTATGAGTAGATCTATATTCCTTATCCCCGCTCTAACATTGACGTATGCATCTGACCTCAAATATTTGGTCACGACTTTGATTAGCATTGGACAACTTATCCTAAGTTGTCGTCGTATGTTCACTGAAGCGGCAAACGTAATCAATTGAATGTAAAAACTATTATGTAAGAAACTCTTAAAGAGACAAAAAGGTAAAAAATAATTTGATTGAAAGTGGAAAAAAACGGCACAATCGATAAAGAACGTATTAATTATATTTTAGAGATTCGAAGCGTCATTCCATATATATTTAGTAACAACATGTTTTCATAAATACATTTGGAATGATGCTTACAAGAGTGTGTCAATGTACGCAATTTTCCAAACAACAATCGCCAGTTTCATACTAACAGCATAGGTATATGGATATCTGATCATTATAGACCGGATTTATACATTTGAATATTTACAAAGTTTTTGCATATTTTGCATAAAATTTTTAAAAGCAAAAGAAGTGTAATGCTATTATTTTTTATATTTTAATATTATTACATCTTTTTGTAATATTTTAATACTTTTGTATTGCATATTATCTGGTCTTGTACAAATGGTCGTGATATCATTATTTCTATTGGAGAGTTAAATAAAATCGTGAATTATCTTTAATTGAACAAATTATTCGCGGCCATTACAAAGACCATTGTCCAACAACACAATAAAGATTAATCACAGGCTGCTTCAGACCTGGACGACTTTATTGATTCCGCGAATTCGTTTTTCCTCTTTATTAGTGAATTCAAAAAGAACCACTCTTCTGTTGAGAAAAATTATTATTTACGATGTCCAAATACATATCGGTGTTAAAGTGATACATGAACCCTCACCTTAACCTAGAAAGATAATCATGAATTATAAACACCGCGAGTGTTTCGATGATTCACAAGAATTACTTCCTGCGATCATTATAAGAACAGTGATCCAGGAATGCACGGACTCTGGCACTTAGCCATGAGAGTAAATAAAATCACGGGATCACTTTGTTTGCACTTTGTCAAAGCTTTCAATGAGTTCAGATAAACTGGTAAGAAAAATCATGTTAACGTAAATTAACTTGTTTTCGATATTTTTCTACTTTCAATATCAACATAAAACTACATAATTATAATCTTGCTAAATATTTAAAATATTTAAAACAGGAAACTTGTTTTTGTTTTTGGACGTAATAGAGGACTAACCAGTAATCACACATCACAATTTTTAGAATTTGTCAGTTTGTGATGTAAAATCACGATCATCGACTGAACTACAGGTGTATATATTGGTTAGATTGAATTTTATTATACGTGTAGGTATATAGATAAAGAATATTTTAATTCGCTGTATAGAGCAAAATCACGTAATATATCTCAAAGCGCAGAATGTTTGTAGAACTACAACTACCATTTTGGGCTAACATAACGTAATCAATGTTGACATTTGCGCCGCATTTAAAGATTTTGTGTACATACATTTATCGCCTACAGAATTCTTTAAATAACTAGTTGAGTTAGATAATGACATGTGATTAATCAATTCTTAATGTAAGTCAGTTCATTGTTGTTAAACCAGTATTGACTGGATAATTCGAAACAGATTAGAAAAACATCAGATCAATTGTGTCACGTGTTTAGAATTTGTTGATAACACCAAATTATCTGTAATAGTCTCATTACTAAACTAATAGAATATGAGATAGTGTTGAATCTTCTACAGATTGAACTCTATCACGCGCTATAGCCCTGATGTTATATCACAATGTTATTCATACGTAACATCAATTGAATAATGTATGAGAGTCTCTTGTTGCACTCATCTCTACTTAAGTATTTCCAATTAATGGGTGTAGGTGACTTCCAAGTTTGCGAGTATCAAAATAAGGTCTCTCTTAAGTCGTTTCTCTACACATTATACAAATCCCAATACGAACATTAATAATAGTAATCATAATCTATACATACCTATAATAAAATTGTAACTAAGTCGAACCTGTACATTAAATATTTTTTGAAAAACTTTTTAACAAAAAAATAAAAACCGACTTCAAACAAAAGCACTAAAAAGTAAAAAATAACTGATTGGTAGCTTTCATTTACTATACATACCTAGTCAAATATTTTCGAAGTCGGTGTATGGTCGATGTATTTAATAGGTAAGCTTTAATTACTTAGCCAAAGTGGTGCTGCCTCGGTGGTGTAGTGGCTAGCATGTACGGCTGCACACCCGGAGGTCCTGGGTTCGAGTCCTGGGTCGGGCCAAGTTTAGTTATTGAGTCTTTCTGTATAGTTAGCCTCAGTAACAGCCCGGAGTTGGGAAGTTGGCGGTGTATCACCCCGTGCCTCGGAGAGCACGTAAAGCCGTCGGTCCTGCGCCTTAACTCTCACTGGTCGTGTCGAGTGGTCGTCCCACCGGAGTATGAGAGTGACAGGAATAGAGAGTGCACTTGTGTCTGCGCGTACACTTGTGCACTATAATATCTCCTGCGCAGTTGGCGAGTCTCAACGAGATTGGCCGCCGTGGCCGAAATCGGTCAGGAGAACATCATCATAACATAAATTATATAGGAAAACCATAGATTTTTGTCTCTCCAGATAAGAAATACATTTTTGTTGTTGGGTTGCCTATCTTCATTTGAATGCAAAGTAAAACAAGTAATGTAACTAAGATATACTAATAACAAAAGGTTTTGGACATGAGCAAATGTATTTGTTTTCGGCCCATTCGATATTGAAAAGTGAAGGCAGGCAAGGAAATTTAAAACTTTGTTAACATAATATGAACACCTTATGATAATAGAGTAAGTCACTCATTTTCAGCAAGTCATAGTTGATTGTTCATACTGTATATATTGTTGATACTTTGACCCAATGAAGGACCCAAGATAAGTGCTATATTTACTAATTACTAAACATAGTTATAAGGTGACACAATATCTTTTACTTAACAATTTCTGAATTTAAATGTTCAAAAATTTCATACCTACTAAGTTTTAAAAATAATGTCTTAAAATATAGACTAAACATATAAAAGTGAATAAAATACAAGATTTCTTCATAAATGGCAGTTATCAAATGAATTTATTTTCTTTTTTTACAAATTATACTTGGATGTACTTAATTTGGACACAACTATTATTAAGTACTTTTAAAAGTGTGTGACACATTGTATAAACATAAAACATGCTAATAAAAATATATTACTTCAACTAAAATTCAAAGAAGAAAATTTCAACGACTACTGTTTTAGGGTCTTTACTCACAGCACACATATGTCAGTAATTATTACTTTATTACATGTATAGACCATCATATGAAAAAGTATTGAAATATAAAATTAAAAATCAATTAGCTTAGTGTATCACATACATTTTATATTTCTCTCAATCTAATGTACAAAGGCTACCAAATAAAAAAAATAACAATTAACAAAAAGCACTCAAAATGTATTAAGTGATAAGAAATACTTAGAAAATAATGTAACACTCATGAATAAAACTAGTAGTTCTGCGAACAGTAAACCTTGCAAGCTTAAATGTATTTTTAGGAGCTATTCTACTCATTACGCAAAAAGATTCTCATGAGATATACACCAAATTTTTATAAGACCAACTTAAAGTTACTATCTTTCAAATAAAATAAAATAAGAAAAAGATATCCAATAACCCTCTTTTTGACCCCTTTTTTGAGGAAATACCCCTCCAATCAAAAATCCCAGATTAAAAAAATTGTATGAAATATGTAATATATAAAACCTGTATACTAAGTTTCGTCCAGATCGGTTGTAAGATATGACCCATAGAAGAATAAATCCAACAAACTGACAGAAGAACGAAAAAAAAAAACGAAAGACTCATAGCTGAGAAAAATAATACAACAAAATAAAAAGTTTGAAAAAAGAATTTTATAGATAATATTTATAGTTTACTGTAACAAAGACAATAAATATAAAGACACATAAACTCTTATCCACTTATGGCATTGAATTTAATTTTAATGAGTATGAAAATTGCATAAGCTAATAAGCTTGCACAGGGAAACCTTATGTATTAACTCTATTTTATTTTTATTAAACAGCAATATATTGTCTCTAATCATCCTCACTCATTAACTACATGCACCATATGCTCTGACAAACTCTATTAAAATTATTTAATCGTAACATGCTTCCATGGTAATTTCTGTGGTACTTTTAATTATAAATTCCATTGATATCCAACAATAAGATACAATATTTAGGAAGGACTATTACTTATATTATTATTAGAATTGTCTTAAAGAGCTGATTCACTTCAAACGTTACGTAAATATGTTGAACTTATGTTATTATCCTGATGTGAAAGTATTTTCACAAAGGATTAACTAAATGCAAAAAGTATAACAATGTAAAATACACGTACCTTAGACTGGGTTAGATAGATGCACTATTAAGTTGCTGCCACCGATTTGTAACGCCAGCCACTTAATAAAAGTTAAAAATATAAATTACCATGTGTTTAATTAATTAATTTTGTTAAAATGCACTTTATTATTATTGAATTTTTAAACAAAACCCCAAATATATATACGTGTATGTTATAAATATATAGATATCTATAGTTACGTATAAAAAAATACTTGAAATTACACGCTTATAATTATTTAGTTAAATAACAATACAAATAGATTTATACAGAACAGAATGAAATCACAGGATAGTATTCCAGAAATTTTATGAAATATCGACCTTGTAAGTCTGTCAATTAAAGGCTAAAGCCACAGAATATAAAACAACACTATTAATTGTTAAGTATAAGTCGAATAGACTATATAGAGTAGAAAGCTAATGTTCTAAGAGTTAAATATGGGACAGCACTAAAGCGCATTATGCGGTAAAATGCTCAAATTCGAATTTTTTAAAACATGTTTTCAAATAAAGCAACGCTCAGCACAATCAAGCACTTTATAAAGTACTGCTTTGGCAAAACATTTTGAAATGTTTTTTCGCGTCGTTCGTGTTTGTGCGCCAAAGTATTATACTTTATAATTAGAGAACAGGGTGTGTTGTGCATTAGTGCCACGAGTTTATGTGCAATTTTGTTATATAGTTATAGGTAGATTTATCTGAAATTGTGTCGAATTTTTCGAGGATAAATTAGTTATAATAATTGGGATGGATGCCATAGAATATACTCATTAAAGTTGATATGGTGAAAAACAATACAAAGATGACTCATAAGAAAAATAAAATCTTTACTTTTTCAATAAATGTATTATAATATATAAAGTCGGATGTGAGCGTAGACACACTAAAATATCCAGAACAAACCAAATCTGAAGAAGTGTACATCAAGAATATATAAAATAAAGAGTAGCGAATGCTTGATGTATAGATGGATTAGTACATATAAGCTACTAGCATTGCCCGCGGCTCCGCCCGCGTTCAGATGACCAAAAACCAAATTCTTAGGTTTTACATAGTATACTCTTACATTGCAGTTTTTGTACTTTTTCTCAGAAATGATATATTTTCCCGCGGTAAAAATCCTATATACTGACCCGGATAACCAGCTATCACCATGCCAAATTTCATCAAAATACCTCCATTGGTTTTTCCGTGATGCGGTAACAGACAGACAGACAAAAATTCTAAAAACTATAGATTCGGCATCTGTATCGATAATAATGTCTATTATTTCAATACGATTTTCCAAAAAATATTTAATGTACAGATTCGGCTTAGTTACAATTTTATTATATGTATAGATTAGCTAGCTATAATAAACGTCAGTTGAGACAACAAAATTTTAAAAAGGTAGTATTTACTATTTATTTAGTCAAGGTGTAAAAGTAACGACAAATAGCGTACCCGTATGCATTCGTTACTATAGCATCAGTACTCGTTACTTTTGAATCGTTACTCGTTACTTTTGATACCCGATAACATACTCGTAGAGAATCGTATCGAGTCGTGTTGCGTATGTATTGCGTACGGTATAAATTTATACGTTATACCGTATATCGTTGACGTCGCGTTGTTTTCTGTGGAATAATGCAATTGCACGATCAACAAACCATTTCAATTGGAGAGTTACATGATATCCAGAACCCGTAAATTTTGATTATTTATAAATCTATATAATTTTTAAAAACTTTACTAACAATATTTTTTTATTAATAATTTTTGAAATTAAATAATAAATATAAAAATAGGTAATTTAAAAATGAATAAGCAACGGCATCTATCACGTTAGTGTGACGTCGTAATGCATATTTTATTTAAAATCAATTGCGCGAATGATTTATCAAATCATAATCTGTATGTATTACACATAATCACATGATCATGTCTCACGTAAGATAAATAGATAATTATTGTATTACAATATTGTACACAATTATTATTTTAAAAGAGCCGTTGTTGAGATTCTCGCCGGTTATTCTCAGCAGAAAATTTTATTCCGAGCCGGCGGTAGTTCCTAACGGACTAACATTTTATTTTAATTTAAAATGTAAAATTGACGATTCAAAAGAGCTTGTAAAAGTTTATTTGAATAAAGTATATTTTGATTTCATTTGACGTAATCATTTAGTAAAAATTATAAGTATTTGTTGGATAAAAAACTAAAAATGTGTTCTAAATATAATGGTTGTTTCTAATTGAAAATTGTTTCTAAACAAAATTTCTAAGATCTGGAAATCATGCAACTCGAAATAAATAAATAAACTCTCTAATTTACTCATCAATGGTATTAAGTATTAACTGAAAGTTGTATTTTGCTGAATAAAAAAATCAATAAAAATATTAGTACGAAAATATGTACGGAAAATGCGAGTAACGAAATGCATTCGTGAGTAACGTTTCGGTACTCGGTACTAGATGGCGTACCCGTTACTCAGTAACGAATACATACGGTTTGCTACAGCTCTATTATTTAGTAAGCTGGATAAGTGGCTGCCTTAATTTATGAATATATATTTATTTTATATGTACATACTTATAAATATATAGATTGCTTTAAATAACTAATTAAATTCATAAATAAAACCTCTTTGTTGGTAATAAAATAAAGTTGTAACAAATAACTTATCTTCATTCGTAATTACTTTCGTGAAGAAACTAACCTAACCTTTTTTTTTATGTTTGAAAATGCATTTACGCATACCACTTGCATGCATATAGGCGGTTATGTGCAACTCACCGGCAAAGCCAGTTAAACCTACTCACTATAGTAGGGGAGCCCAAGAGGGGATTTTCTGTAGTTACTCGAGCGCGGCAGATTAAGGCTAGTCACATCCTGAAATGTGTCCAATTCAATAATCTGCCGATTTGCACAAGTCGAAGAGGCAAAAATCGACTATAAAGTTTATGATGATTTTTGCCTCTTAGGCTTGTGCAAATCGGCAGATTATTAAATTGGACACTTTTCAGGATGTGACTAGCCTACCACACCTTAATCTGACGGTTTCAAGTATTTTTACCTTATCAAAACATTTTTTAAATATTTTAATCGGCTTCCCTAGACGCGCCCCTTTATATAGAAGACTTATATTGTGGTGAAAGTACTCAATAGAGTGCAAGGTAACCTCTTTTATGTTAATCTGCCGCGCTCGAGTAACTACAGAAAATCCCCTCTTGGGCTCCCCTACTATAAAACCCAACCGTCATAATAAGGCGTCGCAGGATCGCTTACATACTCGATCACGACCCTTCAACGGCAGCCTGTAGACTATAACAACCATGGGGTTGCTTCAACCGACGACTCTGCTATCAGAGAGGTACCAAGAGCAACCCGATGGCACATCACCCACCGAGGTGGACTGCCTTCCAGTGCGGCTTCGCGCCTGGCGAAATTGCCGGACGCTAATAACCACCCTCCCACCCACTTTTACAGCTTTTTAGTTTTTGTCAATTAAAAAATAAATCTTTTAAACATTAAATATTTTTATATAGCCGACAGTCGCATTATCAAGACTAATCTAACGACGTATGAATCATCAAAATCTTTGTTTTATCGTGTTTTTTAGATGATAAGTAAAAACATTGTATCCGACCGGAATTCGAACCCGGAAATTAAGAGACCTTATTTTGCGTGGAATAATGTGATAGAAAACCGCATACAAAACTAAAACCGCGTTTTCTCAAACGCATCTAGATCGATTTTTCACTTTCGAAAACCCCCAAATTACAGCAAAATCGTTAGGGCCGTTTCCGAAATCGCCGGTAAATGTAAATAAATAAATATACAAGAATTGCTTGTTTAAAGGTATTAGAAAATAAATATAATTTCTATCAGACTATACTTAAGTTGGATAATTGGATTAAACAATCAGGATTAAGTTCCATTTATCTACTAGTCTAGACATTATACACATTTCCTTTATTTAGGTGTGACATAAAATATGTGAAATAAAAGCATTTTTTTTTAACATTTATTTTATCTATCAGATGTTTAACAAAACAATATCTACACTCTCAAAATAATGTGTATACTAATCCTGTTGCCATTCAATCTATAAAAATGAAACTTTAATATTGCCAGAAATAAATATTATTCAAATTTGTATTCTTAGAAAATATATACTTTAGCAGTAAACTCATAAAATTAACTAAGATTTGAAAATGCATATAGATGCAAAAGTTGGTTTTTAAGATGTCAGAAGACCTCATGTTGAAGAACCTATTATCTAAATTAACATTAAAGCATTCAAGGTTGACATTTGAAGAATATACATACACAATTATTGCATTCAGATTACACAGTCTACATAACTTTATTTGGTATTTTTTTTGTTTATCGAGGCATGGGGGGCATGCCAGGAGTAGGTCCTGCCATAGCAGCATTTGTTCCAAGCAACACCTGTAATTATAAATAAATAAATTTATGTTAATCATATTGTTCAAATTTTTTTTAATAAAAATAGATTACTACTGTAAATTATCATATTGATTGCTGTTTCATGATTTTCTATAAATATAATAAGGTTTAATAATATATGAACTAAATATTTTTATACTTACTTGCTTTTGTTGAGACTTTTGAATTTCTTCTACTTGGGCCCTTTCTACTTCAAATATAACTGGAGCAAAAAGAATGACTGAGGAACTAGCCACCACCCACATAACTGAACGGGATAATTGATATAAGTTTTTAATGCCACTCCTAAAATTAAGGAAATATTATTTATTGGCTGTTTAATATTTAAAACTAAAGTGATAATTTTAATCAAAAACATTTAGTTAAACAATTAAACAACAAGAAAAGTACCATGACTTAGTAGTAACTGTATAAGTGCCATTGCGAACGCACTCTGGAAACATTTCTGTTAAGCCCCACAATCTTTCTGATAAGGTTTCATCTGGTTCCTGTAAAAACTTCTTGTATTATCTTCTAGAAATACTAATACAATATATTTTGAAGAATAAAGTAATACATACATCATCATATTCTTTGAGGGTTGTACAAGGTGGATTACCAGCGGTAGGCGAAGTTCCAACAACCTGTAAGTAAAGTTTTTTATAAATATAACATTTTTGCCATTATTTTTTATATATAAATACTCTCTCACCACTGGAGTTATAAAAATATCTTCCGGTCTGCGTTCTGGTGTATCATCTTTACTCGCAGTCAGAGACTCCATTCCGCTATCGCTCTGTTCGGTTTCATCGGGTAATTCCATAAGCATGTTATGGATTTATTAAATAATTTGTTGATACAAATTGTGCGTATTTTATGTAACAATAACTTTACCGCATGTGATAAAGTTACGATAAATTTTTCTAAAGGTTTTCTTTACAACCTCAATTTTATTATTTTAGATTTTATTGTACAGCAGAATACAGATAATAAATTTTCTACATTGCGTATAGCGAAAGCCGACAGATAATAATGATTCATGAATATTTGAAGTTATAGTGCTAGTAATACACTGTATGAATTGATAGACGAAATAACATTAGAATCTAAAACAAAATAACCCTATAAGTTGCTACCACCTACTAGTCGCTTGGTCTTGGATTAGAAATAATGTAAATAGAAAGATATAATGAACTGCTTTGTTGTATTAATTTTGTGGACCTACAATACAAGAAAGGATGAGACGGGAAGATGATAATAATAATTATAATATACATTTTATTTAGAATCCTTCGTTCTGTAGCTAATAGGTGTGATATATAATGATGATAGCGACTACAGTTAGCTTTACTGATTGTTTTAGTATTAAGTTGCTGAATATTTTAATTAAATCTGTTAGTGAAGACAAGAATTCCATAGTAGCAGCTTACGGCTTACTGTTAGAATAGCTAGTGTTCGTTTTATCTTAAAAATATAAAACAATAATAACATCAATAATAAGCAAATATGATTGACAATTGAAATTATTATAATAATATTTACTTGGCAGTCTTCTGGGGAGGCACAGGAACATGGAGTATCCAATGGCGTCATTTATTAGGCATTTCTGAGCTGAGCTATTTGGATTTTTGAGTAATTTGTCAATCTTATGTTAAGTCGAAACGTATGTTTATTTTAAAAAGAAAATACTGAGATTCTTCATTTGAATATGAAAAGATTGTATATTATATTTTATACATACGAAGATATGCGAGAAATCATAATAAAGTTATAAATTATAATAAATATAAATAGAATATACGCACTATTGTCACCTTTTTGAAAGTTTTCAAATTCAGCTTTATAAATTTTTTTAAGAAAATCTTTCTTGCAACATAAAACGCATTAATCTGAATGCTAGATCAACGTTTGTATTATTTTAGCGATTTAAAAAATTGATGCATACCCAAGCTAGTAAACAGGAAAAAAACTTCTGTAGCTTTGGTTTAATCCATGAAGAAAACAAGACAGTCTTCATGGTTGAACTTGAATCTGACCTCTCGGAGTCTCGTCAGAGAGTAGGGAATCTGACATTGCCAGAAATGTCACTATGACAGTAGTTTTACTTTGGTCTTTGAGTTTGACTTTTGAATTTCATACTGTCATCCATGTTTCATACAATCAAAGGGTTTCATGGAGGATAGGCAGAATCATTGTTTTAGAATTTTTACGTTCGTAAAAAGATGGCAAATACAGGCTTATTGCCATTTGTTCGCGGTGTCGACTTTACATGCAATGATTTTAGTGTAAGTTTGTGTAAGAGAGTGTTGCGAAGTTTTGTCATGATATCATCTCTAACCTCTGGTGTTATGTGGCCTAAATGTTACTCTAATTGCAGGGGGAAAAATTTCCAGATGCTATTCGGTACATGACTGGATTGCAATGGCTTAGACTTGATAAAACAAATTTAGAAGAAATTCCAGAGGAATTGGGAAAACTTATGAAATTGGTAAAAAAATCAGTGTTTACGTTTTTTTACAATGATTCATTCACTTTTTGTTCTCGTTAATCCAAGTTGTTTAACTTTTATTAGGAAAATTTATCTTTAAAGAAGAACAATTTAGAAAAACTATTTGGGGAGTTAACAGAATTAAAATGTTTGAGGTCATTGAATGTGAGGCATAACAATGTGAAAAGCTCTGGTATACCAGCAGAGCTGTTTAAATTGGAAGAATTGACTACATTAGATCTTTCTCACAATCGATTGAAAGAAGTACCTGAAGGATTAGAAAAAGCAAAATCATTGCTAGTATTAAACTTAAGTCACAACAAGTATGTATATTTTTAAATAAATAAATATAAATATATTTTTATAAGTAATATTTTTGATAGTATGTAATATTATTAGCAAATAAGTTTATCATTTATAATAAAAAAATTAAAAACTGTTATTATATTGTTATTATATATTGTCCATAATTTTGGCATTGTTCTTTTATTACTAGGGCTTATGTATATTATATAATTCAACTTATTGACATGTAGTATCCAATTTATTTGTCCTTTTCTTTTGATATAACCGTAACAAGAAAACACCTTAACATTATTACACATATAAATTATATACCCCTTAATACTTATGTTCTAAAAATGTTTGTATACAATGTTACTTAAATATTTAAGAATAGGTTGCCTTTGCAAATGACAGATATATACATTAAATAATAACTAATATTATTGTTTTAGAATTGAGAGCATTCCGCCAACACTATTTGTCCAGTTGACAGATCTATTGTTTTTAGATCTTTCTAATAATGCACTGGAGACACTTCCTCCTCAGACTAGAAGGTTGGCGAACTTGCAGACTCTAATACTTAATGATAACCCACTTGGACTATTTCAGTTGAGGTAAGCAAATATTTTTTTAACAATATTCATTTTATATGCTTCCATCGCTCATTTAAAAACAAATGACAGAAGTTTTTTTTTATAAATATTTCATTTAATTTATTCATATAATTTTTTATCTACAGCTTCTTCACTTCTGTATCATACCATATCCATTACAAAAATCTTAATGCTAATACTTTTTTCCCTCTTATATATGGCGCGCCTAAATAAGTTTCACTTCAATAATAAATAAAGGATAGACTAATATGACCAGCCTTGCTAATATTATACACCTAGCAACTTTTTTTATTTTATATCAAATTCCTATGATTATAGACAGTTACCCTCACTACAAAGCCTGGAGACCCTACATATGCGTAACACTCAAAGAACTCTTGCAAATCTTCCAACATCTCTTGATACACTGTGCAACTTATCTGATGTGGACTTATCAAAGAATGCTCTTACTAAAGTTCCTGACGCTCTATACTCTTTACAAAGTTTGAAGAGGCTCAATCTAAGTGATAATGAAATCACTGAAATATCTACAGGTATATTTTTTTAATTATGACATATTTATTTGTGTTAAGTTTCAGTTTTAATTACAATCTCTTTGTATTATACTTTTGCCTGTAATGATATTAATGAGTGACTCAATTCTTTTTACTATTTTTGGATTAATCTTGATATTTATAGTAAGGTTAATGTAATTTATACAGAATTTAGAATTAATTACATGCTTTGTCTGTAATAAAACAAAAAAAAATATTTTGAAATGCTTATCAGCATGAAATTTTGAGAATATGTATTGATAAAAAAAAATTAAGTATTTTTGATGTTATGCTTCTTTTGGCACACTTGGAAAAAATTGTGAGAGTAAAATTTTTACGATGCGCGCGCACACGGACAGCCAAAAATGACAAAATGAAGTTAGCTGCAACCTGCATTCCTTTTACAAACAGACAGTTGTGACATACGGGATGAAATCTTAAGCTATTTTTGTTCTGTTACGCCAAAGAAGTATAACTTTTGATGTGCGTACATTTTTTTAGACGTTTTTTTTAAATATACCAATTAATAGAGTATTTTGTTGTCACTCAATGTAAACCTGTTTTCTTGAAACACTAAAGTATCTTATTACGAGTTAACACGCTTGGCGATGCCTAACGCAAGGTTTAACAGCACTGCTAATGTTACATTATAATAAATTCTGATTTTGTAAAGGTGAAAATACCTATTATAGTATGCTTTTTAAAAGTATAATGAAAAGTGTCGAATTCCCAACGTAATCTTGAAGTTATTCTCCATAATATCATGTCGATCGTTGCCTTTAACTTTTACCTTTATAAATGAAATTTTGTAATGTAAAGCAATAATATACAGGAAAGTAAGTCGTAAAAAGTGTTTAAAATTTTAAATTTACTTTGTTAACTAACAAATCCTTGGTTAATTCTGTTTGCAGTAATTGCATCAAAATTGTTATGATAACAATTGCTCAAGTTCAGCTTCGTTAGTAATGTAAATGTTGTATGTAATAAGCATAATGATGATTGCTGTGCAATATACTAAAAGCGATAAAATAACGCACATTAAGAAATAATTAAAATATTCCTTCTAAAAGTCGTATATTCATCGATTTTTCGCTTCACTGATGATATAAAATATTCTGCAGTGCCTTAATCATAAACTACATATTTGAATTAATGTACAGTTAAAAAAATGATGTAGAAAATGTAACAAGTTAGAAAATATACATTTAAAAAAAAAACCAGCTCAAAAAAAAAATAGTATATATTTTTTTTAAATAATATCATACCGATACGGATACTTAAACGCCTGCCATTTCGCGCACTTGGCGTGACGTCAAAGTATAATATACTACTACATACTTTAGCGACAAAATTTGTTATAATACTCTGACTTCATATTAGGTCTGACTAATCAAATTAACTACATACTTACATATATTATATAAAATTTCCCGTTTATATTTGTTTATATTGCATATTATTTTATTAATCAAAAAGATATTGCATTAAAAATATTGATATAAGCTTCATTCAAAAGCAATAAAGGTGATAAAAAATATTTCACCTTTAAATCACATGCATATTTCCTATTGAGTCAAACCTCGCAATATATTATGCTAAAACCCATTAAGTTGTTTAGGCGGTAGAGCATGGCATTAAAATCGACAATAAATGTAGAGTCGGATTTAGAAGGGTGCAAACGGGTCTGTGGCCCTTGGGCCTCCACATGCGAGGGGCCATAATAGAAATACCCTAGTGTTTGTCAAGTAACGTTAATTAAAGCAAACTTGCAATGAGAATAACCCTTCTTTGAGCCGCAATCGGGTAAAAAAGGAAAGCTACATGGAATATTAATAAGGGCCTCCGCTCCTTAGTTGCTCCGTGGCCCGACCATAAAACAACTAATACACTTGTGTTACGTCAACTGTTAATAATATTAATAACAATGAGAGAAAATAAATTATATAATATTAAATAAATTATGTAAACTAATGAATAATGAATGTGCTTACTTGTGCTTTTTTTAATAAATGAATTGTTTTGCTACTACTTATACTCATACTCACATATGTAGAGGCAATCTTCATTGAATCTGCCAGATAGCGATTTCACTTGCTAACGTGCGTACGCTTTTCTGCGTAACTAATAATTAAAATCTGAAGAACGTTATTTACACACAGGCATGTAAACGCAATGAACTGTACATAATTCTGCGATAAATCATTTATTTAACGATCAGCTAGCTATTTTGCAATGTAAAAAGGTTTGAATTTCTCAATCTAAGACCACATACTTGCATGTTGACTACTTGCCTTCATTTTCTCTCATTTAATTGTATAAAATTAAGATAATAATTTATCTCTTGTAGCAATGGATATTTGGCAGAAACTCGAAAGTCTAAATTTATCCCGGAACAAACTGACTGCACTGCCAGCGTCATTATGTAAACTACTGAACTTACGGCGATTGCACGTTGACGACAATCAATTAGACTTCGAAGGTATACCCTCGGGTATCGGCAAGCTGGGCAACCTTGAAGTGTTCTCCGCTGCAAATAATGCCCTGGAAATGATACCTGAAGGTCTTTGTAGGTGTGTATTTGAAGGATAAGTAAATTATTACATTTTACAAAAACGGCATACAGGTATATAAATATATATTATAAATACATATTAGGTTAACATGATTTTTCAACGATTTGTTTTGGCGATCGGTTGACGTTTCAAATATATTTTATATAAAATCATAAATTTTTATTCCTTTAAAATTATAAACTTTATCTATTCTACCAATTAATACAAAAAATCAGTAAATGTACACTGGTATCAAAGAGTAAATAAGATGGTGCATCATAAAACAATATTATTGAACATTATTACACAACACCTAAAACAATAGTAATATCGGATTACACTATCAGATGCGGATCGCTAAAGAAACTCAATCTGAGTTGTAACAAGCTGATCACGTTACCGGACGCGATACACTTGCTGAGCGATCTCGAGAGTTTGCAGCTGCACGGCAACGCGGACCTGGTGATGCCTCCGAAGCCGGTGGAAAGGCCGAGGGGATCTGGTCTCCAATACTACAATATAGACTTCTCACTGCAAACCCAGTTGCAATTAGCGGGTGCGGCGACCCCCGAACTTTCCGCGCCCTCTTGTAAGTATTACCATATAATTGTGTAAATAAAATAAGATAATATATCATTGGTGTTATTTACTTTAGTGGACAGTTATTTTATTTGTTTTATATTATTGATGTTGTACTTATATATTCAATTAGCGACTCACCCTCCCTCTGCTCGGGTTTGCTCTAGTTACGTTTCAACGTGTAGTATAAATTTCCCAGAGATAGATATTTTCCCGCAGAAAAATGTATCCTATATGTTGACCCGTATAACCAGCTGTCATCATACCAAATTTCATCAAAATCTGTCCAGAGGTTTTCTCTTGATTCGTTCACAGACAGACAAACAGACAGACAAAAATTCTAAAAACTATACATTCGGTCTCTGTATTCATAATAATGTCTATTTCAATAAGATTTTCCAAAAAATGTTTAATGTACAGCTTCCACTGAGTTAGAATTTTATTATATGTATATTAGATAGATATTCCCTATTTATTAAGAAATGACTACTTTCATAAATGTGAAAGTTCGTATATGTTGGGACTCCTTCACACTGAAACGGCTAGACGGTTTTGGTTTAAATTAAGTACACGGATGCACTATGACTTGGAGTAACACATATGAAGATAAGGACCCGAGAGAAGCCAAGGTAAGTCGCTAGTGTAAGATAAAGAGAAAGCTATTAATATTGTTATATATCTCCTTACTGGTAACTCACCTTGGTTTGGCCCACGTTAGTCCTTAGGTACGTTTTAACGGCGTGTATTGAATAAATAGTCGATCGCTTGCTCTGTGAAAAACAAAAACAAATCTATTAGTCTAGTCAACAAGTTTAAAAACGTGTTAAATAGATATAAAGCTCCTAAAAATATGTGCCATAGCTCATTCGTTTCGGAATGACGTCTAGAAAAATGTTTTTTAAGGGCATATTAGCACATAAAAAATTGCAATTGTTATTAACAAAATAAGATAATATTAACAAGATAAACTGCTATTTAATATTAGAAAAACATTATTTTAGGTGGCTTTTTAGACGGCGCGCCTATGCCGTAACGCCCTCGCGGAGCCCTATTTCCAGCGTTAAAAAAATTATAAATAATATAGATAGAGTTCCGGGAGTTAGGACTTTTTTATTGGAAATTTCCTCCTCTTTCAGGATCTTTTTTCATAATTCCTTAAATATCATTATTTTAAAAGTTATTAACGAAAAACTAAATACCTATTTTTTTCTTATTTTGTTAATAACAATTGCAATTTTTATATGCCAATATGCCCTTAAAAAACATTTTTCTAGACGTCATTCCGAATCGAATGAGCTATGGCACATATTTTTAGGAGCTTTATATCTATTTAACACGTTTTTGAACTGGTTGACTAGACTATATCCCACAGGAACCGTATATTTTTGCGTCATAAAAGTAACCTATGTGTTATTCCAGACTATAATCACAGAGATCTGTGCCAAATTTCATCCAGATCCATTCAGTCGTTCTGGCGTGATTGAGTAGTAACTTTAATCCATCCATCCAAACTTTCGCATCTATATATATATACTAATATTATAAAGAGGCAGAGTTTGTTTGTTTGTTTGCTTGAACGCGCTAATTTCAGGAACTACTAATCCAATTAAAAATATATTTTTACATTAGATAGCCCGTTTGTTGAGGAAGGCTATATAGGCTATAATATATCATCATGATACTACCCAGGAACAGAGCAATAATCATAAATGTCAACAAATCGGGCATACTTCCATACATTATTGTAAAGGGAAGGGAAAGAAGAGTATGTTTTTGTACTTTGAACGCGAGCGAAGTCGCGGGTTCTGCTAGTTTATAATATTAATGGAATATTGATTGATCAGGTGCTAAGTCAGACCCGATAGCCCGCAAGCTGCGCCTGCGCCGCGGCCGCGCGGAGCCGGAGCAGCACGACTCCGCGCTCATCCTGCGCGGCATGCAGGAGCAGGCCAACACGCAGCACGCGCAAGCCGGCGCCGACCTGCCGCATAGTGAGCTCAAGTAAGTAGAACACTTCTAGATTCGGTTTTTATTGTCCAATTTTCGTTTTTATTGTTTATTTTATTTATCCCTTCAACTTTCTATGTTTCATCATACTTTTAATGGAGGTTTGTAAATGATTGTACTTTATACCATGCAATTCATTTTCCGAAAAAAAAGTAGTATTTGGCACCAAGATCCAAATCCTCTCTCTATACTTTCATGAAAGAATGTTTAAAATCAAATTAGGTGATATAAACCTTCAGAGAACATTATCTTTAATTAGGATTAGAGAATTAAAGGTTGTATGATGTATATGAAGAAATTAAATTTATTTTGAGTTTTGTTTCCCGACGTTTCGAATGCTCTTCCGCCTTACGCAGGCGGCCCGCCGGGCCTTTGTTATTGGCCCATCTGAAGTTACATCTCAGAGTTGGTTTCGTTTTAAATTGTAATTACTCAGAGTTGTTTGACGAGTTCATCGATTTTGAAAACGATACCAATCTAGAAGTTCTGTTTAAAGAAAAAAGGGAAAACAGACCATGACTGAAATATGTTTGTGGCCCCTATAAAAAAAAAGGTTGAGTATGGCTGCTCTACAGTAATCATGGTCACGGGAGAGTTTCTCCTCCTGAAAAAATCTGAACACATATGTAGTTTTATTTTATTTATAATGTTAAATATTCGTGATTATTAATAAAGTATTAAGCTACCTAAATTATCAAAACTGGACCGTCGGCTACCTGGGAAATCGCCGGTTATTCGTTTATAAAGTGTTGATGTTTATTTGCAGCAAGTCGCAAATTCAGATCTATTGTTTGTTTGCTGTGTTTGTAAAACATCTAACATTGAAACGTAACGTTACATTGTAACGTGCAAAACTAAACGAATAGCGCCTTGAAACTATATACTACATACGAGTATGTATGTACGTATATTTTATTAAAAAAAACGACATGCATTTATAAAATCTGTTTAACAAAGGAGGATTTTGTGAAACCTAATTTTATTTCAAAGCCTTTTAATAGTTAACTTTAATTATTGTGTAACAAACAGACCTAAGCGCTGGGACGAGAGTTTAGAGAAACCACCACTAGACTACTCAGAATTCTTCGACGAAGATACCGGACAGACGCCAGGACTACAGATATGGGAAATAGAGAACTTTATACCAGCTCCTGTTGATGAGGTATAATGTAACAAATATTTATATAATAATTATACATAAATATTTACTGGACCCAAAGCGTATCTAGTTACTCAATATATCTTAGTATAAAGAAAATAATAATAAAGATTGAGTCGAATTGAATATTATCAAAAGTTTTCCTTATCGCTCACATCGTTCGTTAGATGTTGCAAAATTGTAAGTAATAAATAATATAAATTGTGTGTAATTAAAATATAATAAATCGAAAACTTTAGTATAAATGAAATGCAGAGCAATATCCAGTTGCGCTTATTCTGTTAACCTGTATATACATTTTTTAATCTTCCCCTCTACTTGTCTGTGAATTTTGGATGTACCCAATAAAGTGTTAAGCTTTAGCTAATATGATTTCTCATATAAATGAAATATTCTTTTGAAAAATAAATGTTCCTAAACCTGAATATTATAAAGTTGAAGAGTTTGTTTGTTTGGTTGAACGCGTTAATCTCAGGAACTAATTTTTATCGAGGAAGGCTTTAGGCTATATAACATCACGCTACGACCAATAGGAGCGGAGCATAAATGAAAAATGTTGCAAAAACTGGAACAAAATGATTCCTTTTGAGAGCTTCCGTTGCGTGCGCTATGTAAACGGTTAAAGTTACGTAAAACCACGTATGACGGAATTGTTCCCCTTAAAAGTTCTAAAAAAAGTCCGCGACAGCATTTGTCTATCTTTTAAGGTTGACTCATTTTTTTATGGTAATCATTTTTTTCGAAAATAATGCATAATAATAATTATAATTTGTAGGTTGCACATGGCAAATTCTTTGAAGGAGATTGCTATATCATCTTAAAGACATCAATAGAAGAACAAGGCCAGCTTTCTTGGGATATACATTTTTGGATCGGATCTAAGGCTACTGTAAGTTAACATTTTTATATCCACCAGCCATAAACGATAATACTTACATTTTTAACATAACAACTACATAATACACAGATAATGAAATATCATATGTAGCTAGTTTTGCAGTTTCATACATACCAAGGATCTCTTAGTATGAACTGCCATTTAGATGTAAATTATGCTATCTATACTAATATTATAAAAAGGTAAAGTTTGTGAGTTTATGAGTTTGTGACGTTGTAGTGGTAAGATAAGATTTGGTAAGAAGATAGTTTAAGACCTTAAGAAGGACATAGGATACTTTTTATCCCGGAAATCATCCCTTATGGGGGTGAAAATGGGGATGAAAGTTTGTATGAAACCTACTTTTTAGAGGTACTTTACTTTGTAGTTTTAGCGCGAGTGAAGCCGCGGTTCTGCTGGTTACTAATAATATGTTCACTACTGCTTATAAAAAAATTAGTCATTATTTTTATATTTTTAACTGAAACCCACTAACATAATTATTTCTAAGCGTTTTGCTTAATAATAAAAATCTGTTCTTTACATTCTATTTATAACGTTTCTTTAGTCTAAATTAAACATGACTAAGCGAATACGCGCTCTATTCCCAGCTGGATAAGGGCGCGTGTGCTGCGATGCACGCGGTGAACCTGCGCAACCTGCTGGGCGCGCGCCGCACGCAGCGCCACGAGCAGGGCGACGAGGCGCCCGAGTTCCTCGCGCTCTTCCCCACGCCGCCCGTCTACATCAACGGCAGCAGGACGCCCTCTGGTTTCTTCACTGTCGATGATCCGGTACGGCGGTCTAGTAGCTAGCAGATTGTAAGGTCCCGGGTTCGAGTTATGGGTCGGGACAAGTATAGCTATTGAGTTTTTGTCGCATAATTAGTAGTTGCCCGATGTTGAAAATTTGGTGGTGAACGTCTCGTAGATCAGAGAGCGCGTTGTCCTTTGCCTTATATCTGATTGGTTCTGCCGAGTTGTCACCTCATCGGACTTTGAGAGTGAAAAAAATAGTGCACTTACATTGCATAGTGTCTATGTACACACGTGCTGCGTTATAATACGAACCGAGCAATAGTCTCTCTCAGTGATTTTTGTGTGTACAAGTATTTTACTAGATATCATCAATTTCCAGTCAATTGTGAATCTATACATTATTATTGGTAATTAATTATTTAAGGCCATACAACAAACATTAAAACTAAACATTATATTTTACTAGCGACTAACCTCATCCCTGGTATGAAACAAAGACAATTCTATTCCACAGGAACTGTACCGTTTTGCGGGATAAAAAGTAAACCGGGAACTGTATCTTTCCAGGTTAAAAAGTGCTATATTCCAATCTATAATCTATCTGTGCCAAATTTCATCAAGACCCACGTTCAGCAGTTCTGACGTGATTAAGTAACAAACATCCATCCAAACTTTCGCATTTGTAATATTCATGGGTTACTAAAGAAAGCACTTTAATACTAGGATAAGTGGTTACTTATCACAAAGTATGTCTGTGAATGTATGTAGCACTACGTGACGCGGCTGTACCGCGTGCACGGCGCCGGCAGCAGCGTGCACCTGCAGCCCGTGACGGCGGCGGCGCGCGCGCTCGACCCGCGCTACGTGTTCCTGCTCGACGCCGGACTGCGCATATATCTGTGGTCAGTGATAAGACTAAATATGTACCTGATGTTTCCAACTGATTGAATGATTGATTAACACTGAAGAAATGATTTTGTTCAAGTCTATAGTGGCAGAGTTATTTAATACGCTTTTTCCCAATTCAAACTCTCATCTCCATTTTCACCCACATAAGGGATGATTTCCGGGATAAAACATACTACTATCCTATGTCCTTCCCAGGGTCTCAAACTATCTTCTTACCAAATTTCATCTAAATCGGTTCAGTAGTTTCGAAGCCTATTCGGTACAAACAAACGAATCTTTCCTTTTATAATATTAGTATATATTATGTCAAACAGGAACGGCAAAAAAGCAAAGAACACCCTTAAATCGAAAGCACGTCTGTTCGCGGAGAAAATAAATAAAGAGGAGAGAAAAAATAAAGCTGAACTCATAACTGAACCACCCGGGAAAGAATCGAAGAACTTCTTACAAATATTGGGGTATGAGGAAGACACGCCGTTCATAGCAGAGGTATGTTACATTTACCGTATTTTTAGGGGAGGTGCACTAAATAGCAGTGAAACAGCGAAAATGGAACCCTTATTATTTCATTTTGTCTGTTCTGTCTGTGTGTCACAACCATTTTATTGGAGTCTATTGGTACATTATAGTTAAAACTTAGAACTTGGAAAGTAGGTGTATCATGTGAACTGACAAAATACGGGTGACAGTCGTCCATATTACTAAAATTGCCATTCACTTTTATACTGTACAAATTTAAATTTAATAATGTGGATTTTAATGAAACATAATGATTTAAAATTAATAAATATGATATTTAATGATTTAGAATTAATAATGTAAATTTTAATTATACACTTTAGAATATAAAACTATGGAGCGAATCGTTCTAATAAAGATAAAAAGTTACGATTCAACAAACCGGTGTATCGTAGGTACAACACTGTACAAAAAAGCTGGCAGCTTTATTTGTAAATTTGACATTTGCATGTGTCAATTCAGTCAGTCTCTGAGATTAAAAGACAGACTATAAAAATGTACGTGAAGTCGTACATAATATATATGTATGTATTATTCAGGAGCACGTGCCGGCCGAGTTCGCGTGGGCGCCGCCGCGGCTGTACCGCGTGGAGCTGGGCATGGGGTACCTGGAGCTGCCGCAGGCGGGCGGACCGCTGCAGCGCGCCGCGCTCGCCACGCGCAACGTCTACATACTCGACGCGCACCACGACCTGTTCGTGTGGTGAGTTGTGACACGCGGGTAGACCTATGCAGGAGAAAAAAAATACCTTAAATATAGAAGATATCAGATTTTAATTGTATGATTAATGGTGTAATATGCTTACGTGATGGTGTCCAGGTTCGGCAAGAAGTCGTCGCGGCTGGTGCGCGCGGCCGCCGTCAAGCTGGCGCAGGAGCTGTTCAACATGGCGCCGCGCGACGACCACGCGCTCGTCACGCGCCTGCAGGAGGGCACCGAGACACAGGTACTTCCCCGTCTCGCATGCTTGTTATTGTCGAGCCGAAGGAAGGCAGTTATACTGTATTCGTGGAATGAACCAAGCATTGAGATTTTGCGCTTCAACATGATTAGTTGCAGATAAGACGCTTAGGGCGCGATTACAATGCAAGTCATAATTAGTCTCTACTGTTCAGACATTTCTCGTAAAGTTACCTGATTTATTATCAATGTATGAGATGACAGTGACACTTCGGAAAGCGAAAATTTATAAATCATTTATACAAATACTTAAAAATACAGTTAATTTTACTTTAATTGTTGATTTTATTTGTATGTTGTTTTTTTTTATTACAAATTATTAAGAATTCGTGACTAAAGCATTAGCAACATGGACGAGCCCTATGATTTCAAACCAGTTGCAAGTGTTAGTGGGCGGAACTAGACAGTTTTTTGTCCTTATCAGTTTGTATGCTAATGTGGAACAGAGAAGCGCTTTGCATGGTTCACTCCGTGAATAGAGTATAGTTACATGTGAAGCGTATAAAAAGTTAATAAATAAATAGAAAAAAAAATGGGTGCGAGTTATGTTTTGGAGGCAGCCAGGGGATGCAAAGAAATGCAATTTAACTAAAAATTAATTTATTAACTAGATGTTCTTACTACTAAAATGACTGTCGATCGATGTTAGATCAAATCATTGAAGATGCAGCCAAGTAATGCCTTTTATACTACATTATTGTAGGAAGTTGTGACTATGGCATTGATGAAATGTAGGTGGCTGCTGCGCTTGCACTTGCGCCTGACCTTGTCTTGTCGTCGCCGCGCGAGGTTTGTGGAGCAAATCTGATGCGACGATTCGAGTTCCGTAACATGCGTGTAAACTTTACGCGCGGTTGAAGTAACACTTGTTTGGCAAATATCGCAATTAAATTAAAACAAATCGATAATAAGGCATATTAGTCATATTACAATAATATATTTATAGAATATCATATACGGAAACAATATAATATTATACATTTGTCAAACAATAACAACGGTTACCATGGCAACATGGCAATGTATTCTATCTCATTCTCTCGCCGGCTTAATCCTATATATTTATATGTTCATCGAGTTTCAAATCACAACGATTCTAAAGAAGTTTCCCTTCAAAAACAAGAGTGTTAATAACCACATAAATAAATAAATAAGCCTATGACAAATAATATAAGATTGTAGAGTTCCCACTGAATCATTGCCATTAATTATGTCCAACATATTATAAATATTTCTTGAGTTATGTATGAAGTTCGTACTTTTTTTTTAAATTTATTAAGAACACCAACAACTTAACACACAAATACATTTTAATTTCATTCTTAATACACAAGTTCTAATATGTTAGTCACTTACAGGTGTCCATAGCACTGACCAACAAATCACATACATGCACTACTAATATAAAAAGAAAACAAAATGACTACAAAATAAGGGTAAAAATTGTACAGAAAGAAAATTAATTGAGTAATAGATATAAAGAATAGAATATAATATAAAGAATAGAATGCAGGAATTTCACAGTTAACAGTCGTTCGTTGTTAACAGTTAGATGAAGATAAAGAATAAAGAAAAAAAAACATAGTGGTGGAATAAACTGCAGTAGTGAAATGAGTGTCACTGTATGATTATCTTTATACTCATTCCCAGAACCTAGTTTGTATCAATATCTCAATAATATAAAGTTACAATAATATGACTATTACGCGTTCCGCTTCTTAGGTAAAAATAATACTACGTAACGATTTATAAATGTTTTAACACATTTATTTTAGGTGTTCAAAACCTACTTCCTGGGATGGGAGGAGGTGATCGCGGTGGACTTCACGCGCACGGCCGAGTCCGTGGCGCGCACCGGCGCCGACCTCGCGTCCTGGGCCAAGCAGCAGGAGACTAAGTCAGATATACATACTATCCATACTTAATATTATAAATATGAAAGTGTGTTTGTTTGTCTTTCTTTCACGTCAAAACGGAGTGACGGATTGAAGTGATTTTTTGTGTAGAGATTATTGGAGGGCTGGAAAGTCACATAGACTACTTTTACCACGGGAGAAAATCTCATTACCACGGGAAAACACATAATAATACAGCCTAAAAATTCTTTATGATCAGAATTACTTGAAACTTGGCATTAATGCTCTTCAATACAATTATTGAATAAATACATGTTTTAGCATTTTTCGAAATTTATAAATTCAATTAGTTTCACTCGTTACTTTGAACGTTTTTTGTTGGTTTATATTTCATGTTATTTTAAACTTTAATCTTTATTGGTGTTAAGCTTTTTCATGTGTTATAAATTAGTGAAAATTTATTGGTTAGTGTTCCATTTATATATAACTAGTAATTAAAAATGAATGTCCCAACATATTTATTTATATCTCACCACTTCCAGAACGGACCTATCAGCTCTGTTCACTCCGCGCCAGCCGTCCATGTCGGCGGCCGAGGCCAAGACGCTGGCGGACGAGTGGAACGAGGACCTGGAGGCGATGGAGGCGTTCGTGCTGGAGGGCCGCCACTTCGTGCGCCTCCCCGACCACGAGCTCGGCATATTCCACAGCTGCGACTGCTACGTGTTCCTGTGCAGATATGTGCTGCCTGTTGATGTGAGTTGCTATCTACTATCTACATATCCATACTAATATTATAAATGTAAATGTGTTTGTTCTTCTTTTTTTTGACGTCGAAACGGATTGGCGTGATTTTATATGTGGATATAGTTGGCGGGCTGGAGAGTTACATAGGCTACTTTTTACCGCGGGAGATTATCTCATTCCCACGGAAAAACACGTTATAATACAATCCAACAAATATTTATGATCATTATTACTTAAACCTTGGTATTAATGCTCTTCAATATAATTAAATAAATACGTGTTTTACCATTTTTACAGGGGATGACAGTTTGCATGAAAACTACCTTTTTAGACCTTTTTTTTGTAGTTTTAGCGCGAATTCTGCTAGTTATATTATAATTTTAGAAGTATTTTAAGGACAAATAAAACAACGTGTTCGGCTGTGGCACAAAGGCAAAGAAGGAAGTACTTTATTATTCCACTGAGTAAAAGAACATAGGATACATTACAGATTATCTAATACGATTAATCATTCATTTTATTTTGAGCAATATCAACATATTACAACTAGTAACTTACTGCGTCCCTAGTACGCGGATTTTGCTCGCTATTCCATGGGTTTTGATTTTTTACACAGAAAAATTTATCTTTTTCTAAATTTAAAGTAGCCTATGACATATTGTTACTCCTTATAGCATCAGCTATCTGCCAGTGACTCGTAAAAATCGAGTCCAGCCGTTTCGGAGATTAGCCGGAACAAACAAACAAATAGGTAAACAGACAGACAAAAAATTTAATTTTTTTTTTTTTAAAAGTATATAGTAAAAGTACATAATATGTATTTAGTAAAAAACTGTAAATCGGTTCAGTAGATCCACAGATTACCCCCTACAACGTCACAGACTTTACCTCTTTATAATATTAGTATGTATAGATTTATTATTATTATTATATTTTTTTATATTCTTAACAAAAGGGCGACGAAGACGAGGAGGGTTCGCCAGGCGCGGAAGACGCGGGCGCGGCGGGCGCGGAGGGCGCGGGCGACGAGGGCGAGGGCGCGTCGTGGGTGGTGTACTTCTGGCAGGGGCGGCGCGCGCCCAACATGGGCTGGCTCACCTTCACCTTCGGGCTGGAGCGCAAGTTCAAGCAGCTGTGCCGGCGCCTGGACGTCGTGCGCACGCACCAGCAGCAGGAGAGCCTCAAGTTCATGGCGCACTTCAGGAGGCGATTCGTCATACGGGACGGCAAACGGAACTTGAAGCCAGTACGTATATAAGTATGGTGACCGAGCTTGGCACGCCGTTTTTGGGAATAGATATAAAATGACGTTTTTTTTTCAGAAAAGACACCTATATAGACGAACTTAATCTTATTTTAATACAAAATTTGATTCAAATCGTTAAAGCCGTTTCCGAGAATATACACGAAATAAATTAATATGTACATACAAGAATTACGCATTTATATTTTAACATAAGATATGCTTGTGTAGATAAAGAATTTGATCCGTGGTGTCGCTTATGTTTAATTTTGTTTCGAAAATTATATTAAACTCGCCCATATAAAATTCTTATTCATTGTTTGCTTTTTAGTTTTGTGCTACTATTTGGTAATAGTTGTTTACGTCATTAAATTTTATATCAGGACTTAAATGATATTTTTTTTATTTCGGGCTAACAGCTTACCATTATAGCTAATAATAAAATTGCATTTTAAATTTTACCTACTCTTGATATACGTAAACAGCTCAATATAACTACCATTACTTAAAACTATCTCTCACTTCATCTTCGCCTACCTCATTTAACATGCAATATCTGTATTATTTTCGTAAATGCAAAAAAGAATATACATGTAATGAAAAAAATAAATCATCTGGAACTAAAAATCAAAATAAACCCGCGAAAAAATCCGAAAAGATAGTTTTATTTAAAAACAAATGTGTATTTTAAATAAAACTATCTTTTCGGATTTTGTCGCGGATTTATTTGCATTTTTGCAAAAAATGAAACAAAAATGCAAATAAATGCAAATAAATCCGCGACAAAATCCGAAAAGATAGTTTTATTTAAAATGTCAAATATTCGCGTAAATCTAAGAAAGTATTAACCAAATGTGTAATTTAAATATCGCACGTCGTGTCCCCAGCAGGAGGGAGCGCGCGCGCCGGTGGAGCTGTTCGAGCTGCGCAGCAACGGCTCGGCGCTGTGCACGCGCCTCGTGCAGGTGCGCGCCGACGCCGCCAACCTCAACAGCGCATTCTGGTACGGTTTTTTTTTTAATTTTGGGAAATGCATTTACGCATACCATCTGTAGACATACAGGTGGTAATTTGGGACTTACCAAACTTGCTAAGTTTGCTCAAAAAAGCAGGTCTGGTCGACTATGATGTTTTCCTTCAGAGTACTACAAGTGGTAAGCATGTTGAAAATGATTCTTACATGAAAATGTTAGAGGTGGTACCCAGAAACCTAGGATTTCAATCTGCTTTACTTAGTTTCCCAAGAGCGCTGGTACTGCAAGCCTTTGTATTAATAGGACATCCGACTACTATTCTAATCGGGAAAGGATGTATGTGTATGTATGTGTGTTTGTATATATGTATATTTGTTATTCATTCACAAACAAAATGGCTGAACAGATTTGTATGAAAGATAGTAACAGATAGATTATGACACGGTTAAGCACATAACGTCCTCGTTTTTGAAAAAGTTTTGTGCGTTACAAAACTTTAATTTTCATAAACGACGTCTTAATATTGTGTATTAAGACAATTATACCTAGGTCAGCTTAAAACAAATATCAACAAAGATTTTTTTTAGAGGTACTATTAAAACTAAAACCTATCAACAAATTACTGACTCAATCCATAAAATGTTTCCCTCTGCACAGCTACATACTAAACGTGCCGCTAGAGGGCTCCAAGGAGTCCCCGTCGGGCTCCGCCATAGTGTACGCGTGGATCGGCAGCAAGGCCGACGCAGACTCGGCGCGCCTCATCGAGCAGATCGCCGACGAGAAGTTTAACAACCCCTGGGTCAGCTTGCAGGTTGGACGATCGTTATTTATTAGCGTAACTAATAACCTTCGATCAACAATACTATTGGATAACGTGTCACATGCAATCAAAGCTAAATAATATCCGCGCGAATATGTACTTATACAGTTTGTATACTCACGAACCAAGACAAAGTCTTATAATAATTTTATTTTCAACCTAATCAACACCATAGCCTTGTAATAAAGTCACAAATCTTCAAATTATCATTATACACTTACGATCATTTCGTAAGTTTTATAATCTTTATTGTAAAATCAACCTTATAATATAAGACATAAAGCACTTTTTCACGTTGTTGCTTTGTAAGCTAAATAGTTATGTTTTGTTTCTGTTTACTTCTTAGCGCGTGTATTGGCCGACCTGGGCCAAACTTTCTGAACGGATTTAAAATTGTTCAAAATTTAATTTTTATATTATTTCATAGGTTAAATCTTAAAATATTGACTTAATCTACATATATTTACCGAAAATAAGACATTTCGTCTAAAAAATTTCTTCTTCGTGTATTATTTTTGTAACTTTTAAATAAATATTGCGGCATTATGAACGTGCTTACGTGCTTGCAGTGTTTCAATAGAACTAATAGAAATATACGCTCACTTTGCAAGTGAGTTTATATTTACCGAGGCGGATTTCTTACGCCGACCCGATATCTAGTGCTATTGTTGATCGAAGCTAATAACTATTAACTAACTAGCGTTAGCTTCCTCGGTGGTCTTGTTAGTTGGGTAGTGGTAAATCATAAATCATAATATACATAGAAAAATGTCGACTCAATTTGTAGTGACAAAATCGCTAGTCGCCCTGTTATAATACTTCGACGTCATATTCGATCTGAGCAGTGACGTGCGTTTCAACTACTTTGAAGTTCCCACCTACATTTGCACTTTTTAATAATTATTTTCTTATATTATTCAAAAGCAATGAAGATTAAAAAATATTTCACCTTAATTTAAATTACACGCATATACCCTATTATATTATGTTTCTATTTCAGGTGCTGACAGAAGGCAGTGAACCGGACAATTTCTTCTGGGTGGCGTTGGGCGGGCGCAAGCCCTACGACGTGGACGCGGACTACCTCAACTACACGCGGCTGTTCCGGTGCTCCAACGAGAAGGGATACTTCACTGTGTCTGAGAAATGTACAGATTTTTGTCAGGTTTGTTCTTTTTTTTTAAATATGTACTGTACACACAACACAATTTGAACGTGTCTTTTTTGTTTTTTTTTTAAACCGTTTTTTGTTTCTTTTTCAAATTATACTCCTTTTGGCACGTTTGGAAAAAAATATGAGAGTAAAGTTTTTACGATGCGCGCGCGCACCGATAGCCAAAAAGCGACATGATGAAGTTAGCTGCATTCCTTGTACAAATAGAGAGTTGTGGTGACATATGGGATGAAATCTTTAGCTATTTTTGTTCTGTTACGCTAAATAAGTATAACATCTTACGTTCGTACATAAGTACACCACACACGTTTTTTTTTAAATTTTGAATGGGCTTCCATTTTGTTGCTGTCAGGTATGTTCGAGAGTATAGCATATTATTACTACACGAATATAACATTATGTTCGGTGAATAAGACTGCCGGATACCAAACCACTTATTTTATACATTTCAAATGGCAAGTAACATGTCTGATTTTGAAGTGTATAGAAGCTACCGTTCCTATTGCTTTATTCCTAAATTGAATTTTACTTAATACTACCATTGTTATTTATTTCTTTATATTACCAGTTTTTTTTTACTAGCTCAACTTTATGTCTTATGAATAGAAGATATTATTAAAAAAATCTAAATTATTAATAAAAAGGTATATGAAAGTTATGGTATGGTATATTCGGACTTGTTTCCGCAACTCAACGTCTGTGCACCTATTTTGCGTGTGTGGGAAATTTTCCATTCGTTTTATTCTTGCCAGCCCAGTTCCTCCAGGAATTTCAGCAATCTTCGTCTTGCTGAAAACCTCCGGGAGTGTACTAGGGGTGCCAAGATGTTGAGCCCGGTACGCCGCTACACCTGGACAATATAAAATTATATGTGCAGCCGTTTCATCTGCCCTCATGCAGGCCCTGCAGAGTGGGCTGTCAGTTATAGCTAAATTAAATAGATGTTTATTGTAAGGTCCGTGGCCTGTTAGAGCCGCGGTTATCTGTCTGAGCTGAAGTCTATTGAGATTGATCAGACGGTTAGACGTTTTGGCGTTAATGGTAGGAAGCGAGTCCTTCGCCTGTCTACAGTCTACAACTTCACGCTATATATTGTCGTGTAGTTGTCTTGTGCGTTGTCGTATTTGACCTTTGAGCCAGCAAGAAGGTAGCGCCACGATGGGCTCGGGTTCTATTGCGCTCAAGTTCCTCTTCTTGCTAGCTCGTCGGCCCTATCGTTGCCCCACGAGTTACTGTGGCCTTTGACCCATTGTACGGAAATGAAAGTTATATATTTAAAACAACTATTATTTCTTCCTAGGACGATCTAGCAGATGACGACATCATGATTTTGGACAATGGCGAGCAAGTTTTCTTATGGCTTGGTGCTCGTTGTTCGGAGGTTGAAATTAAACTTGCATATAAATCTGCACAGGTATTTTTTTGTAATATAAATAAACATATAATAAAAATATGTAATATGGTACATATATTTCTTGGATATATTTTTATGTAATATCAAGAAAAAATTAAAGGCAATATAAAAAAAAATAGCTTTTCTTCTTGTATGGCCGATTGTAATTTCTCATTGATAAAACAGTTTACTTGTTTGCTTAACTATCTTAAAAGCTTTTTAATTTTTATTAAGATAGTTATCAAGTATAAAACTCAATGGTAGTTTCAGAAATACCATTGAAACAAATATAATAACATAACATAAATAAATATAATTTTATTTCAGGTATACATCCAACATATGAAGACAGTGCAGCCGGACAGGCCGCGGAAACTGTTCCTCACACTGAAGGACAAAGAGTCGCGACGTTTCACCAAGTGCTTCCATGGCTGGGGAGATCATAAGAGACCTCCAGAATAAATTATTTATTCATATTCATTGGACCTTGAATTTGAAACATTGAACCACCAATTGAACCTTGAAAATTTAGGAAAATTATTTAATTTTTTAATTTTAATTATTAATTATTGTGACATATTATTATAAAAAAAAAAACAATTAGCCATATTTTTAAAGTATTATGGGGCATTTATAAATTACTGCCACGTTAAAAAATATTGATCACAAAATACTATATAAATAATAAGTTATTAATATATATAGTATATATATATATATATATATATATATATATATATATATATATATATATATATATATATATATTTAATTTAAATAGCCTCTACGTTTACTGCATAAAAGTATTTGTTACTGTACCGAAAATGCCAAATTCATTGAAGAACATAAATGTAATGAATAAATATCTTTAAATTATTGAACTTAACGCTTATTAATGGAACTAAAAAACATTTCATTTTTAATTTTACCTGTGATATAAAAAAGATGTTTTTTTTATTCAAATAAACAAGATTCTATAAGGCATCCTTAATTTTAATAATTTTGTCTTTTTACAGCTCTGTATTTAGTATTATTGACCTTATAAAAATATAGCCTTTTAATTTTCATATTCTCCTGATGCAATGCTAACTTATATGAGATTGTAGTATTAAAATAATATAGTATTTGTTTCTCATTCTTATTTAAATGCATCTGAGCCGTTTAAGCTATACCATATGAGTAAAAAGATGCTTAATTTTGAACCCCTTTCACAATAATCAATATCTAATAAGTTATTGCATTGATGAGTTTAAATAACCGAAAAAAATGTATATGATAAAGCCTGTAGGAAAACAAAAAGGTAAAAACCTAACTGAAATCAGTTAATTGTGTATATGAATGTACTTTTTCCATCCCTATTGAAATCTGGCTTTATAGGATCATAATGAAATGCAATATTGTTTTAGTCCAACTGCATGTCAAAAGTGGTTTAAATTGAAAAATGTAAAGATCTCTATTTGGTCTTGTATTATGACTTAGTGATAAGAATTTCGTATTATAGCATTTAGACAAAACAAAAATTGACAATACATCATTTCAGGTCATTAGTGCAAGAACAGCCTAACCCGCATTTTTTCGTTTTTTAACTTAAATACTACAAAGTTCTCTAAATATTATGGTAAAGTTTAATTTACAACAGACCTGGCTGCAGTTTTACTTTAAATAAATACATACCTAAGCCACTCAATGTACTTGCATTGCCATACTTGTCATATGCATATATGGCTTAGGCTGAATGAGATGCAATCGTAGGCAGACATATTATTAAAATTTAGAAACATAATAAAAATATAAAATACATACATGTGTATAATAGTGGGAGAAAAGTTACATACAACTTGGCTTAACCCTCAAACGTATTTCAAAAATATTTAAGTACAAAAATGGTCTAACGTACATTTATTCTTCAAAAGTAGTTATAAGTTTTCTATAACATTTTTTTAGTTCAAAAGACAATAAGCTAAACATGCAAAAAAACTTTGAAACTGAACTTATCGCTACATGAAAAACTATAAAGTTTTAAAATGAATGACAATATTTAACATTCATTTTTTTTAAAGTAGCTGTCAGTGGGTTAGGCTATTTTTGCACTGATGGCCTTGTAGTTATGAGTAATTTATTCTACTATTATATGTTACTAAAAGAATGATAGCATGAAAGGGAAAGAAAGATTGATAGGCCAAATGAAGACTGTTATTTTTTTCACTTTACGAAAGAATTTAATGAAATTTCATTTCATTTATACAATTATTATTACTATACTATTTTTAATATGAATTGACTATATAATCATTTTGAACAAAGGTGAAAGTCGAAGAAATGCACTGGAAATATTTGTCATATTCTGATTCATTGTATGCCCTTCATTTTACACATTTTTTTATTATTATCATTTTAATTAAGCAACTGAATAAATATAAATTCAAAATTAAACAATTATAACAATAATGTTGTACCTGCCTATGGTGATCATCTTTCTTCCAGTTACATTTATTGGTCTTCCGTTCAAAGATTATTTAGGAACTCATTAAAATAAAAGACTGAATACACCAACATATTTATTCACTCCATTTATAACATTAAGCACAAGTGCATTGAGATTTTTGAAGCTCTATATAAATTAATTTGAGTAACATGTGACTAGTTTAGCAAGGACTGCAATATTTGTTACTCAAAACAAATATAAAACTGTGAAATTTATTTATTTCAGATTTTTAGTATTTGCATAAATGTATATAGATATCATGTATAAATAATTGTACTTATGGCTAAATTGTAAATATATGACTTAGGAAGAAAGTTTTATAATAACTAAAACCATAATTCAGTTATCTTAACAACAAATTGGATGATACTAACAAATTAGCACAAAGTATATTGCATTGTCATTTTGTATTAATAAATTCTATGTAACAAAGTTTCAAGTTTTTTTAACACCCGCATTCGAGCTAGCAATATAACATAATACTTAATACAATCTGGTTATTTTAGTCATCATCGTCGTCATCGTCAGAAGGAACAAACAGTTCATTTTCTTCTAAGAAATTAGCTATGTTTTTACTAATGGCTGCTCCAATCAATAGCCCAGGAACTACGGCGCACACAATGCTTAACAATCCAAAAGGCGTTTTTTCTGGTTCAGGAAGAATGGCTCCAGTAGGAGTAGTCGTTGCCGTTCTCCGTGGTAATACTTGTTCATGTTTCGAAATGTTCTTTGATTGTACCACAAGTCGGGTCAGTCTTGAAATAGCCATTTTTAAGACAAAATATGATGTAAAAATAAAAGTCTAAAATTATTTATAGCAGATGAGATAAATTAACACTATCGTAAGTGACACTTCCTTGATTTAAGACATGGATGACAAATAAAATTAAGATTTGAGTTTTGACAGCAAAGATGAACTGATCAACTGAAGTCTGAAGTGCACGTAGATTACACAATTTTTTGTTAAATCAATACCTTATAAAATTTGTTTTGTAGTTAAATTAAGAATATTGCAATTATTGAAGTGGTTGAAAAAAAGTAATTACTTTTAAATATAAAAGGTACCTCAATTTAAGACGTGAAATTTAGCTTCAAAAATTTAGTACCTACATTTTTTAATAATTATACTATTATTATAATATCAATACTAAATAAAGGTGTACTTTATTACATTGATATAGAATTTTAGAATATCAATTTTTATTACATTATTTTTTTTTTAAATCATTAGGTAAATAAATGAATGGAATTTTTAAATTATCTTTACAAAATTATTAAATATAATCTAAATAAAAGACAATAACAAATGTTTTTTTTTTCAAAATGTCAAATGTCAATGGTTTGCGATGCGATAGAATGACGTTACTTCAGTAAAAATACAAAATTTACATAAAAATAAAAAGAATAAAACAAGAATTTCACTTAAAAATGAACGTCACTCTAACCAGCTTAGAAGCTTTAATTTGTAAGTATTTGTAATTAGTCAAATGATACTAAAATTTAGTCTAAATATGTAACAATTTGTTTTGTATTTAGTAAAAGCAACATTCGAATCTTTGATACAACCTGATGCTGCGGCTGTGGAAGCATTTTGTGCTGTAATGCGAGATTCTAGTGAAGGTCCACAGCTAGCGGCTCAGGCACTGGCGGCCCGTATTCACTCCCCTAATGCCCGAGAAGCTCTATTGGCACTTACAATGTTAGACCGCTGTATGCGTCGAAGTGATGCTGTATTTCACGCTGAAGTTGGAAAATTTCGATTTTTAAACGAGATGATTAAATTGGTTTCTCCTAAATATTTTGCCGACAGAACTTCACCAGAAGTCAGAACTAGGGTTAGTATATTTAATTATTAATAAATTTTGAATTGTACTGAAACGTTCTGTAAATTGAAAGTTATGTTCTTCTGTAGTAATCATATAGTTTCAGAAAATTTATTTTCATTCAGAAATATTACTATGGATATGTATATAATTTTTCAGATTCTGCAATTACTACACGCATGGTCAATAGAATACCCTAAAGAAACAAAATTTAAAGTTGCTTTTGAAATGCTTAAAAACCAAGGTGTGATAAAGGAGACACCACCTCCTTTACCTCCAGAGGATAATGGTACTGCCTCTCGTCCCAGAGCTAAAAGTGCAATATTTGAGGATGAAGAAAAATCAAAACTGTTACAAAAACTTCTTCAAAGTAAAAAACCAGAAGATTTGCAACATGCAAATAGGTTGATTAAAACAATGGTCCGAGAAGTAGGTTTTCTTCTTCTAGGTCTTTGAGCTTTTGTTTGCAATTTTTCTTACTTCTTATTGAAAAATTATATACCTGATTTATTTTCTCCTGCTATATATATATTTTTTTAGATTATTTTTTAATTTAGACTAAGACAATGAATGTTTATAAAGGTACCATATATATAAATTACAGGAAGAAAGACGTACAGAAGCAAATAGTCGACGTGCACAAGAAGTAAGTGCTGCTCTTGACAGTGCTGGCCTGTTAAGAGATATGTTAGAACATGCTGAAGATGCATCTGCAGATGAGGAACAGCTCATCCATGAATTACATGCAAGCTGTGCAAGGCTTCGCCCTGTACTGCAACGCTTAGCCTCTGCTGATACACAAAATGAGAATCTAAGTAATTATTCTTAATATTTTTTTTTTTATTACACTTACAATAAGGAATGCTTAGTTTTTTTTGTTGAAAACATTTAAGAAAAAATCCAAATATTTTTTAAGTGTCCTTTCATAAAATACATAATGACAATTATTTGTAAGATTTACTTTTTATTTTTATATTTACAGGTGACATAATACATGCTAATGATGTTTTGGATGAAGTTTTTGCAAAATATAATAAATTTGTTAGTGAAAGGAAACTTAGAGGCAAGGAACCTAAAAGAGAATCACAGGCAAATAATGACAGTCTGTTAGATTTTGCAGGAGCCAATGCCAGGCCTAAAGGAGACAAGCCAAAGATTGAATCTAATGCTGTAATTGATGAGTTAGGAGACATATTCTCTCATAACAGTTGTACTAATAACATAGTGGAACCTTTGAAACCTGTTAATTTAATGTCTACAGGTAGGTTTTAATGAAAATGTTTAAGGCCATTTACATGATTGTATTATAATCAATTCATGTTCTGAATATTTGACTATTTTATAAAAAAAAGTATGAGAATTGATTGTAAACATTAGATTACATTTCAGATGATACTGAATTACTAGGAGAGAAAAATAAAGTGGAAGGTTGGCATGAACTAGATTCTCTCGGTGAGCAATTACTTAAACAGTCATTGCCAGAAAATGCAAAACGATTAGAAAATTTTAATAAGTGAGTATGAAATACAATAAATTATATGCAACAATATATTATGACAACATTTTCAAATATATCATATTTTTGTTACTTTTTAGTAAACATTCAAAGAAAATACCAATGAATGCACTTGAAAAGTTTTCATCAAAACAAGAGATTACCACAACAAATAACAATGCTCTATTAGATCTCGATTTCTTTACAAAAAAAACTACAGAACCAGTTATAGTATCTCCAATGGCACATTCCTCAAAATCAATTACTCCAAATGATGATGTCATGGTCGACATAAGCTCTGATGATAGGACTACTAAAAATATTATCAATAATCATTTAAATCCACAACCTGATAGTCCTCAGGACAATATTTTAGACTTAGGGCTACCATTAGAAGATGATGAATTAAAAAAGGAGAAAGCAATGGAATATAAAGATAATATGACTTTTGAACAGAAAGATAGGGTCAAGACTAGTGAAGTGAAACCTTTAACAGATATAAATTTAACATTACAAAGTGTGCATCCAAGTAAAATACCCCCATTAAAAGCATTTGAGGAAGAAGATGGGCTATCAGTGGTGCTGCATTTCTGTAAGGATAAGCCCAGGCCTGATGTCAGTGTTATTGTTGTCTCAACGACAAGCAAAAGCAGTTCCCGTATCGAAGACTATAAGTTCCAGGCTGTTGTTCCTAAGGTTAGTGCAAGTTTGTATGTGTATGTCTTTAATCCTGCATGCTGAAACAACTTGACGGTTTTAGATAAATTTTATTATACAGTTAGAGCATGACCTGGAGTAACACCTAAGCTACTGTTAAACACATTGGGATGCACCCAAGCAAAGTGTGGATAAGTGGATAAATTTTAAATATCATTAATTTAGGAATTATTGAGTACATATAAATATACCTGGCAATACAACAGAAAACAGGTTTAATTTGTGCACGAAACAAATGTTTCTATTTTTAATGCATAGATCTCCGCCCAAATCCCCTCTATTAAAGACAGGCACAATTAATACCAGATTTCTTTTTTATTTGAAGGGCTGCAAAGTGAGACTACTAGCAGCATCTGGCTCCTCACTTCCAGCCTACAACCCGTTCTTACCCCCACCTGCACTGGCACAGCTCATGCTGGTGGCGGCGCCCCCCGGCCTGCGCCCCGCCCTGCGCTTCGTGCTCACCTATTCCGTAGATGACGACACGTGCTCAGAGATGGGGAATGTTTCAGAGCTTCCCCTGCCTGACCTATAGAGCAATGATTCTAAGATGGGGCATATTCCAAATCAGCCTCTGCTTGACCTATATAGAGTAATGATTCTGAGATGTGGCATGTTCCAGAGCTGCTTGTGTCTAACGTATAGAGTAATGATGAGACTGTGTGATGTAATGGCAGGTGTTGACACTAATTGTGAACACTTTATCTGTCTGTTTGAAAGATTAAGGACTTTCCTTTTCACTCCAACTCTCCCTTCCCCAAGTGGTAAAGCGTGATGAGCGTGTTAATAGTATGTAGGTTGCACACAGGTGACTGATACTCGTATCAGAGTGGAGCGAAAAAAACACTTCTTTAAAATAAATAATTAATTTAAATTTTTGGTTTGAATGAAACATTTTTTTTCGAGTGATACCCAACTTTCACTGTAATATTGCTTTTTTGCAATTTTTAAAAAAGTTGAAAAAGTAACATGTAACTTTTTTTGTGTTAAAGTGAATAGAAAATGTCTATATTCATCAATTCTTGAATGATTTCAAAGATGATCACTCGAAAAACAAAACATTCAAACCAAAAAATTCAAATTAATTATTTATTTTAAAAATCAGTGGGCCACTGTAAAATGTTAAGTAAAATTTTTTTTTTTATTTAGTTTTTGAATAATGTATAAATTCTACTGCCAAGCTAAGAAAAAAATTTTTTTTTTTGCTCCACCATTACTCGTATACTGTCCAAAACTTTCCCATGTTGGTAAAAAGAGTAATTTGTTGTGGATCTGTGCTCACAATTCGTGCCGGCTACTGTATACGCTTTCGCTTGCTTCGAAAGAGGGTTTAAGACATAACGCGACAGATTTTATTGATTAAACATATACTTTTGGATTTATACCTATTTTGTGTAGGTAAATATTAGTACAGTTCTGAGTAAAAAATGATAATCAATTGTAGTTTAAAGGAAACATGCCAATATATCCTTATCAAGTAATTAATAATGATAAACATTAATGAATTAATGACTTAAAATCCTCTTATCCGACAAATCATATTTGCCCATACATACATAAATGAAATCATAGAACAAACATAGTTTAATATTTACCCGTATTTTTAAAGGTATTAATTATAATTAATTTAATATGTTAGTGCTAAATAAGTAGCTAGGAAATTATTATTATAATAATAACGAAAAAATATTACAAACTTTGAGTTCACAACTTATGTTTTTATGATTGATCAATATATTTAAAGGGAGAAGAATTCAAATGTTATGTAAAAATTAAAAAAAACTATTGATATGCGTTTATAAACGTATTATTTATTTTTTGCCAAAAAAAAAGAAACACTGAATACTAATATAGGATTATGAATATTATGTTAATTATTTTAATTTTTATATTATTTAATGTTGATTAGGTATAATATGTAATTAACAATTATGTCAAATCCACGAATTGTATTACTTTACACAATTTATTACTTGCACAAAGCATGTGAAACCTATAAGAATATGTTCAAATTCTGCAATAGTTTTTAGTTTACTCAATATTCATTCATATTTCATACCCTTATAAATACGGGTGTGATCTGCCGCGACAAAAGTCGAACAGCCCTTGTTTGCTTAATCTTAAGTATAACGAGTGAGTGTAAATGACAATTATTAACTATAAATGTTTTACTTTAATACAAATCGTCCAAAATTGCACACGCAGCACGCTACGATAGCCGCTTGACATTTTACAATAGTGATGGGACACTTTTCAAAAGATCGAAATATTGTTTCAATAAGTTCACTTTTTTGGTTTTGATTGTTTACATATCTAATCAGATTTATCCATATTGTTTTCATTGCTTTTCCTGCTATGATGTTACGTATTAAGTTGTTTTGAAAGTTTCTAATTAATATAGGCGAATAACATAGGGTTACGATAATACCAAAAATATCAAAAATATAAGACAATTTAGTATCATAAATTCGATAATTTAACGTCATACGGTACGTAACTATTAGCAATGACTCTACATATAGCAATAATAATTGCTATATATTTAAAATGTTTAAAATTAATTTTTATTAAACTTTACGAGTGGGCTGACATCAAAACGGCCATCGCAGTGTGTCGCAAGTTTAGTTAATATTTTAATATTTATTTTATTGGTATTCACAATATTTCAAAGAATTGATTGAATTAAACTTACAGAGAGCAATTAATTTATGTATGTACATTGTACTGGCTGTATGTCTGTGTAATTGTCTTTTAACGTGTCCTGATAGCGTAAACTATTTATATATTTTTTTAATCGGTTCTAGTCTGAAATTAGGTCTCGACATTACAATTTTTTATTTTTGTTTTAATTATAATTTGATCTGAATTTGTATAAACCAGTATTATTATAAAAGACAGTTCAAAATGTAGGATTACTGATGTTGTTGACTTCACAAAAATGCATTTATTACCATGTCATATGTGACATTTATTGTTTAATATTAGTATGTATTTGTTTATAGTAAATGATATGCGCCGCTGTGCAATAATGATACTTAAAGGAAATATATGACTTATAAATAGTTTATTTATATCAATTACAAAATAAATGGTATCTGCTTACGATTTGTTTTACTAAATTCATTTAAATAAGTATATTTTTTCATAACTAAACATATCTGTGTAACTCGCGTCATCTAAAAAGAACGCTGGAAGAAAGTGGAGGGGGTATGTTTGCGCATGGGTATACTCGCGCTCAAAAGTACTAAGCCTATTATTTTATTTTTCATAGCATTTCGCTCGCGGCTTCATATATTAATTATTGATAGGGACATTGAAAAATATATAAAAATATTACTTTTTTATTTTATTTTAAATAGAACCATCAGGCTTTGTCATTAAATAGAATTAAAAACATGTTTGTTTCAGTGTAAAATGTTTTAATCTTAATATATAAAAAATCGTTTTACATGACGCGAGCTATACATTGATAATACATTGATACAAAAATATATTCTATTCATTATTAAAATATGTTTGATTCAGTGTAGAATGTTTAATCTACTTACAAAAAATTAAATTAATTCATTTAATACATTTTTTTAATTATTAACTGCATTATTACCAGACTCTCTCTTTATAAAACAATATACGTCAAAAATAATTTTTCTCTCTTTTCTATAATATATAAAACCATTTTGTAATTAAAAACTTTTGTGTGCGCGATGATATTTCGAACTGACGAACCAATAGCGCGCCGGCAAGCATGCGGCGCGCGCCCCGCCGCCCCGAGCCGCCCCGCGCCCCGCTTCTTACTAGGGATGGGACATTTCACGAGTAGCAAGTGAAAAATCACGTGAAATGCGTAATCACGCGTCACACCTGCTACTTAAATTCATAGTGGCTGCTACAAATCACAACTTGGTGAAATCTAGAGCTGTAGCAAACCGTATGTATTCGTTACTGAGTAACGGGTACGCCATCTAGTACCGAGTACCTAAACGTTACTCACGAATGCATTTCGTTACTCGCATTTTCCGTATACATTTTCGTACTGATGTTTTTATTGATTTTTTATTCAACAAAATACAATTTTCAGTTAATACCGTTGATCAGTAAATTGGGGAGTTTATTTATTTCGAGTTGCATGATTTCGGATTCTTAGAAATATTGTTTAGAAATAATTTTAAATTAGAAACAACAATTAAATTTAGAGCACATTTTTAGTTTTTTATCCAACAAATACTTATAATTTTTACTGAATGATTATGTGTAATACGTACAGACATAACCACCAACGCTGAGAACGAGCTAGAAATGTTTATTAATGAACCAGTGCTTCCGCGCGATTCTTCGTCATTAGTTTGGTGGAAATCTCACTCCTATATGTACCCCAATTTGGCGGAAATATTTCATGAGCACTGTCACATCTTGGTGACATCAGTGGAGTGTGAGAGAGTATTTTCAAAAGCGGGAAATTTTGCAACCCAAAAAAGAGCACGATTAAGCAGAAAACGAACAGCGGAACTTGTATTTTTAAAAAGCAATGAAGACTATTGTATATAGATATCTCATAAAAAAATCAATCATCAAAAAAATCAAAAAGCAAAAAAAATGATTATAAACAAATTAAAAAAATTAAGAAAAACAAAAAAAAAGTGTATAAAATTCTTTTATAAAAATTCTTATTGTACATAAAAACAATGAACTTTTAAATACGCCAATGTAATTATGGAACTTAGCTTAATACAATTTTACCGTGTGATTACTCTGATATATTTAAAATTCATTTAATTTTACATTGTCAGTCCCAAGCCTGCAGAAGTATGAGGGAAAGTTCATTGTTTGAAAATAGGTTCATTCAAAGCACCATGTACGTATGCAACTACGTCAGATCTATATCTCTGCTCCATATCACATCAGTAGCGCCATTGGTGACATTTCATACTACATTTTAATAGCAAATAATATAAAGTGTGACACCAGACCGTCGAAATCAAAAATCTATGCGTGAAAAGTAGCAGGTGAAATCACGTGAAAAATTGTTGTAATTTCATCACGTGATAATGATTTAAAAGTAGCAATCATTTCCATGCTTACTTCTTACCACCAATTTGACCGATAAATCTCTTCTGCGCAGCTTGAAAGCCAGCGTTTTTTTAAGATGACGAGAGTTATACTATCGTAACAAAATAAAATGACTTTCGTATAAAGGAAGTTTGATAAAAAATATAGTTAAATCATGGTCACTTTTTCACATAATGGGGCTGAATAAAAAAAATTACAATAATGAAAAAAATAGCAATCTTTATTTATTATGAAAAAAAAATATTTACATATAAACCACTTACATAGTAAATGCATTGAACACAAAGCAAGAGGTAAAGAATACCTGCGATTATAGGAGCATATACATAGGGATTCCCACATATGGAAGTCCTGAGATACTAAATGGAGTACTTATCTACTCTAGTATTATAACTTGGAAATATTTTTGTTTGTTTGATTAAATTAATCTCTGGAATTAAAGTGAGACAAAAAAGGACGCAACGTAATGCACCCATATATTACAGTGCGTTACGACCCTAAGGTGACGAGCAAGTAAAAAATGTATATAAACTATGTGAAAGCTAATTTGAAATGGGCTAATTTAAATATATTACCACAGGCTAAAATTCAGATTGAATATAAGGGAATAAAATGACTTTTTTTGTAAAGAAAAATTTCGTTACACCTTTGCCCAGTTTGCATCTACTCCATGTAATCAAAAATCTGATAGCATTCAATTAATCTTAAAATAAACATTTTATATGAGGAGAAATCAAATCATAGTCAAATAGAGTTCAACAATAATAATTCCAAAAGAATAAGAGAGACAGGATGTGAAAAACACAGTCATTAAAGCTTGTGAAAATCAGGTATTGAATCTGAAATCTTTCTATAGGATGGAAAGAATATGCAAATTTTTCTATACACACTCTGTCTATCGTATTCCTAAAAGCTAATATCAATATATTTTTCAGCAAACTCATTATATTTGTCGAAAACTATAACAAATATATAACAATATTGTACACTTGGAACACTTTACGAACATTTTAGTAGCCTTTGAAAAAAGTTAAGGTATAAACACAATCCAGTTGAACATTATTAGTTATTACATATCAAAATATTTTCTAAGACTAACTTGTATACATATACTGTATGTATTTCGTTTACACCATATAATTATTGTATTATACAATTCTACTCGTAGTGTCTACAGGCTTTCGGAACCTAACGACTAGTGTTCTCATATACTGGACCTACAAACATTCATTATGAAGTGACTAGCTACCAGCACCTCATGTCACTTGTATTATCAAATTTCCAGTAACATACATACTTTTATTTACAAACTGCTTTACTTGTACAGATAAAGAATGAGATTAGAAATGGCAGGCAATTGAGTACATACTGTCAACAGAAGCTAGTTTAAAAAAAAGCGATGACTTTTATTATGTAATTAATTAAAAAACAATTATGTCAGTTTTTCACTTTTCTTGGGAAAATGATAATATTACTCATGGCATACAATATTTTGAGTGCAATAACAAATTTTAATAAATCTTAAAAATAATGTATTAAAAAATAAACATTAAAAAACATAGTTTAAGCAATGCCATTTATAATTTTATTCTTTATCTACACTTACAATACACCCCCAATTCGTAAGATTTCCAACTAGGGACCAGAAATCTGTACATTATAGTACACTAGCGACTCACCCGCGCTTCGCTCAGGTTCGTCCTTAGGTACGTTTTAACGTTTAACATGAAATACAAATCTTTGAATTTCTCGGCTTTTCTGTACTATAATGCATATGCATGTATTATACATATAAACTTTCCTCATGAATCACTCTATCTATTAAAAAACCGCATCAAAATCCGTTGCGTAGTAGACTTTGTTTTATACTATGTAGTGATATTTCTGAGGAGATTTCGGACGCTCACCCTACACAGCCTGGTCCCTGAAGGCGAGCGCGGTGATGGGCTTCTGGTGCCCGCAGTACTCGCGCTCCAGCGCGCCGCTGTCCAGGTCCCACAGCCGCGCGTAGCTGTCGGATGAACCTGCACAGGTAATATGATTGTTACGATTACAACTTTAAGCATGGTTTTGTTATAGCTACAGCTTTAAGCACAGCTAAAGCTTTATATATAACTAAAATGATCACGTAGTTCTGTCTAAAGAATGTGCACTGGCAATATGTTGCTACAGTTATAGATCAACTTCAATTATAATAGAGATTTTACGTAGGTATAGCTTTTTGGCAAACCTGGACAGATGCAATGTTGTTATTACAGCTTAACTTTAAACACAACACAACTAAGATTTTTCACGGAGCTATCTGACGAACTTGACCGGGCAATATATTTGTTACAGCTTTATATTAAATACAATAAAGATCGATTCACAAATTAGCCAGTTTTGGTTTGCCTCTAAATTGCTTTCAACATTCAAATAAATATCTTGTGTACCAAAATAAAAAATACCCATTTTCATCGTGAACAGTTTAAATGATAAAGCAGTATAGTGCCATCTCTTGCTAAGTTAGTTATACCTGTCAACCCTAAACCCGAATCCCAACTGTCATATAAAAGTCGGGAGCGCTTCCACCGCGTCTTATCTCGCACTTCTAGGAAATGCGAGATAAGACACATTTGTTAGAGGACTTACGTTAAAATTACTAATCCATACGATTAGTAGATACCAGAATGTATCTGTACAAATGTACCTGTGAAGAGGTATCTGGAGTCGAGCGTGAAGGCGGCATCCCACACCCAGCGCTGGGCGTCGCTACGCAGCTCGCGCAGCAGCGCCCAGTCGCTGGTGCGCCACACGCGCGCCGAGCAGTCGCCCGACGTCGTCACTAGCATGCTGACGTCATCATAACATCAACACACATATAATCTATACTAATATTATAAAGAGATAAAGTTTGTGACGTTGTAGGGGGTAATCTCTGGATATACTGAACCGATTTAGATGAAATTTGGTACGAAGATAGTTTGAGACCCTGGGAAGTACATAGGATACTTTTTATCTCGGAAATGTCCCTTAAGGGGGTGAAAATGGAGATGAAATTTTGTATTGGGAACGGGACGAACCCGAGAGAAGCTAGTTTGAGTCGCTAGTCTATATATTTAATAAAATTGTAACTAAGTCAAATCTGTACATTAAATATTTTTTCGAAAGTCTTATTGAAATAGACATTATTATCGATGCAGAGGCCGAATCTATAGATTTTAGAATTTTTGTCTGTCTGTTACCGCATCACGGAAAAACCCCTGGAGGGAAATTGATGAAATTTGGTACGATGATAGCTGGTTATCCGGGTCTACTACGGGGAATATGTCTCATTTCTGAGAAAAAAAAAACTGCAATGTAAGAGTATACTAATATGTAAAACCTAAGAATTTGGTTTTTGATCATCTGAACGCGGGCGGAGCCGCGGGTAATGCTAGTGTAATATATGACGCGCGATCTGACTTTACTCGGTTGAAAATATAGTCTGATCACATACGTAGGGATTGTGTGTGTGTTGTGGATGTAATAAAAAGTGCAAAATGTATAATTATTATGTATTTTGTGGAGATAATATCTAATTAGCTTTTGAATATCAATTAGTAAGTAACATTTTTTTAACAAATCTTTTTATATAACTATTTTTCATCAATAACTTTATTCTGAATGCATTTGTTCTTACGAAGATATCGACTATCAATATTTTTTGGTGACCTGTTTTTGTTGGTTCCTGTCCTCAAAAAATGTTCCCATCCCTTAATATGGGTGGGAGATTATTTAATTTATAAAAATATTTAATTCTACTTTTGAATTGGCTTATCTTGATTTACATTCTTATTCTTTTATTGCAATGAAATTTATTTAGTTAATGCTTTTGACTTCTTTTTATTATAATTAATAATGTAAATGTATTCAGCCCTTTTTTTTAACGTCCCACTGCTGGGCACGGGCCTCCCTTACGACGTACGAGGGGAATCAGGACGTAGTCCATCACGCTGGCCAAGCGCGGGTTGGCGAACTTCACATGTCTTTTGAAAACTTGCTAGGTTCTCTCAGACATGCCCATGCCAAGGTTTCCTCACGATGTTTTCCTTCATCGTTAAGACAAATGGTAATCATGTTGGAAATGATTCGCACATGAAAATATCAAAGGTGCGAGACCCGGAATTTGAACCCGCTTCACTCCGTTTACCAAGCGAGCGCGTTACCACTGGGCTACCCCTGCCTAATCTTATATATTTAAACGAGCTATTCTTGTATATATATATATATATATATATATATATATATATATATATATATATATATCAATATATAATCTGAATCTCGGAAACGGCTCCAACCATTTTCATGTAATTTAGCATACAGTGGGTTTCGGGGGCGATAAATCGATCTAGATTAGTCTTATATCTGGAAAAACGCGAATTTTCGAATTTTCATGCGATTTTCTTTTACATATTTACAATTTTTGCATTGTCACTTCTGGTGAGTGGGCGGGGCCACTGTGCAACTGTCAACATCGTGTCCGTATTTAAATCAAGTTTAAATATATTTAAGTGAAAATAATCTAAAGAAAAATGGTAAATTATTAAATAAAACCTATGGGCAATATGTAAACATCACCAAGTCTTGATGTGTTGAAGAACAAATGAGCTTTTAAAAATTCACTTACCAAACAAATACAAAAGTGACAAACATAACTTAAAGATACTATCAGTGCAAAACCATCTTTTCTGTGTGTGATGACAATAAAACAAAATAATTTGTGAAGTGAAAGCGTCAAATATTAAAACATAAGTTTATAACCTCAAAAACTAATAGGTACTCGGTATAAAATTGCAATTCAATAGGTATAATTGGTGCTCTTTTTCAATCAGCTTTTCTACTTCCAACTTCACACTTAAGATGGAGGACATAAAAAAGTTGCTAATAAACATGCAACAAGAAATAAGACAGCAGAAAACAGAAATGTTAGAAATGAAAGAAGACATTAAAAATACAATCAACAATAATATACTTAAATGAGAAATTTAAACAGTTAGAAATAAAAATTGAAGTTCTTGAGAAAAAAATCCAGGAACAAAGTACTTCAATAACTAATTTAGAAAGACATATTAGATGCAAGAACTTGGTTATGTTCAGAGTAGAAGAAGGTGAAAAATCCTATCATGAACTAGAGGAAAAAATAGTCTTAAGCTAAACGAAAATAAAAAAGAAGTCTGCCTGTATCTCCAGAAACGCCTTACCTCAATTATAAACAAAAACTAACAAATAAACAACATACAAAGAAAACCATACCTGGTAATAATAAAGACTTTATATTACAAAAACCAAAATTAACTTTCAACCACACAAATGATAACCAGGAACAACTAAAAACAACACAGCAAGATACAGTATATTAAACACTATAGGAACCTCCTCATCTTTATCCACCAGTACGGCCGGTCACTGTGGGGGAGTTCGACCGTAACCCTCCAAAGAAAAACAGACATACAATGAACATATCTTATACATCTTCTACATCTTCACCAGAAAAACTTCTAGAATTAAAAGCAGCATTTCCTACAACAAATCAAAAGAACACAAAGATAAAATTATAAACTTTATAGGCATATCAGAAACAAATTATATATTGAAAACAAAATTTGAAAAGAAACCCTTTGCAATCATACAAGCATAATCTCCAACGGAGAGCTCTATGCAGGACTACTTTGGAGGAGGCTTTTAACCGAGAGATACATGAAAAAGACATTTACTAAATAAATACATTTAATTATGAAATTAAATACCTAATTTATAACTATTGTCAGAATTAATGTATGGAAAGGAATTTTATTTATATTTATTATTGTGAAATGTTTAGTATTTACTCAATTGAATTATTTAATTTATTGTGATTGTTTATTTATTTATTTGTTAACGATAATTTATATATATACAATATCATTTCAAATAATATGGAGATTTTTAAAATAATTTAATTCCAGATTACAAAATTATTAGTTAAAAAATTATAAGTTAATAAATAGTTATAAATTATATAATTTTATATTTCAGCAATGTGATATAGACATTTTTTTTATTGTACAACTAAAATGGCTCCTTATATACTGATAACCAAATAAAATTTTTATGGACTACTTTTATAAAAAGCTATGCATACTTTTAAATTAAATTTATATACAGATAGGTAAAATTATAATGTTAAATAAATGTTTTTATGTAAATTTAGTTAGTAAGCCTTTATTAAATAAAACTATCTTTTCGGATTATTTCGCAGATTTATTTTGATTTTTGGTTCCCGACGTTTCGAATGCTTTACAGCATCCATGGTCACGGGAGAGACTGAGGTGTTACATGTCTTAAAGATATAGTTGTTACAGACAGCCTGTCGCAAGCATTCGAAACGTCGGGAACCAAAAATCAAAATAAATCCGCGAAATAATCCGAAAAGATAGTTTTATTTAATAATGTCAAACATTCGCGTAAATCTAAGAAAATATTAGTAAGCCTTTATAATAAATAAATAAATAGAGCTTTATTATTATTATGATTTCTTTTGCATTATTTCAATAAATTAATAATTAATAATTTTACGCAAAATATAAGTTTGACAATCACAGGTATCTATCTGGGTTCGTATCCCTAACTAACTACTAAGACTAAGTTTTTAATTTTGTTTTTTTTTGTATTTATTCAAATTCTTAGTTTGTTTTTTTTAATGTTTGTTTTTGGCCAAAAACTCCGAGCAAAGCTCGGTCGCCCAGGTACTTAATAATAATAATTAACGTAGATGATTTCATATTTTATGTACATGCAGCGTTTACTTTTAAATGATTTTACTTTTCCTACGTATGTAGTATTCATTACCAATTTAATAAATAAATACTTACGTGGAATCATAGCTAAATTTACATCGCAAAGCGTATTTCTTGTGGGCCTGCAGATGTTTGCGCGGCACCGGGCGCGGCGGCGATCCGCCCAGCGACCACACGTAGCAGTTGCCCTTGTTGTTGACCGCCGCCATCAACTTGCCGGACGGGTCGATGGCGATGTCCTGGATGCTCGTCTCCGCTTCCGGTATCTGATCAATATATTCTTATCATTCATTCAACTATCGTAACAAAGTCAATGAGGGGCTCATTAGCATCCAGTAAGCCCAGCCGGGCGCGAGGCCTAGAGACACACAGGGAGGTGGCCCACTTCGGTAGGCGGTGTACCGTGCGGGTTGCTCCTCGTATTTCTCTGACAGCAGAGTGGACTGCTGGATCAACTCCTTAGTTGTGTGGTCTGATTTGGCAGACCTGCCATCGTTGCATCGTGGTTGAGTGCGTAAGCGATCCTGCTACACTTTATTAAGACCGGTTAGGTTCTGTTGGGTTTTAGTGGATAGTACTGGCTCTTTTAGCCAGTGAGTCACACGTAACCGCCTGGCACGCACCGCTTTTAAAGAAAAGGTAAATTTCGGTTATGTTATGGTTAATTCATTGCTATATCATTAACCGGTTAATAAAAACTTAGGGTTTAATCGGTCAGTCAGTTAATAATGGTTAACGGTTATCCTAAGAGAACGGTTCGACTTAGGTTTTGATATCGGTAATGAAGCGGTTAGTTACAGAAACATACCTATATCCCTCTACTAATTAATTCTCCATTAACAAAGATTCGCCATATATGCAAGAACACAAAAACATTTTAACCGGTTAATTTTCGTTCATGGAAAGTGATTTCACCAAAAACCGTTTTCCGGGTTTTAACAGATTAAAGAACATAACCGAAGTCTTTCGGTTTGCGGTCCATGGCCAAAACTGGTTTAAAAATTGAACTAGTTTCCAAGCCACGAGACAAACATCAATTAGTAATAAGTGTTAAAGTACAATGTAATTAGTACTTTATTTATATATAGTATTTCTTGTTAGTTGTTTAGGATCTTAAGGTTGGCAACACTTGTGGGAAAGAGAAAGTGTTTGTAAAATTATTTTTTGTGAATACTTACTGACTGACTTAACAAAACCTACCTGATCATTCTCAGTCATGTGTTAAATATTATAAATATAGTCTTATTTTTTCTTACATGTCCTAAATAGTAAACAAGTATGGCGTACAGGTAACCAGAGATAATTCATAGAGATGTGAAATGGGAATGACGAATGAATGATTGAATTTAGTGGTTACTATGCAGTGAACGTAAAGTGTTGGGTAGAAAAAATACGACAAGTATTTTAATAATTCGTATTACTCGGATACCGATGACAATTCTCCAGGCTCGTCTAACACATATATTACGTCAAACGTGGCAACGGAACGAACGATTCTTTCAGCGGTGGCCGGGATAAACAACTGTCAAAATGTAATTTGTCTATTTTTTTTTTATTTTTGGCTTTAATATAAACTCATTTTAAAATTTTAAACTAAAAAAGCAAATAAGCGCTCGGGAGATCTCCATCAGGAACGAAGTCCCTCAGTCCATTTTAATAAAGAGTGCAATAAGATACGAAATAATAATAATTACAATAACAAATAAATAATAAGTATAAGTTGATTAAAAGCAATTAAAAATCTTCTGTATTCTACAGAAAATACAACTTTTTTAAAACCTAATAAAAATTTGAACAAAATGTCGGACTTTGTAATTTAAAGATATTGTTATTTTTTTTAAAGTTCAGTTTGAGAATGGATCTCGATAATTCATTCTAAATGTTCCATCTCTATGATTCAAAGACAAAGTAGCGTATCGAAACGTCAAAATGTTGTGTTCATATTTTATCTGTGGAAATTGACTCTGTTAATATTTTGATTTTAGCAAAAATAATGTGTTTAAATCATTAATTAATAGCTTTTATTAGTGTAATTCATAGCGTGTGTGTTTCTGAAATAGTTATAAACGTTAAAACCAAATCTAAAATGTGTGATTGTCCTAAAACAAATGATATTCGTTCAATGTAGTGTTTGTTTACCATTTAGGACACGTAAGGACAAATAGACTATAGTACGTCGTGGGATTAAATAATTAATAAAAAGTTAATTATTGATCAATTTAAAACGTAACACCTATAAGTTTCGATATTTTGTCAATAAAAGTTTATTTTATATATAAACAATGTCACTCTTTCCATTTCATTTTTAAAATCTTGTTGTGAGTCCTTGTCCTACCCTATTTACATTCTATTTAACGAGTCCCTTAAGTCAGGTATTTTACCTTCGATATGGAAACGTTCTTACGTTGTCCCTGTATTTAAATCTGGCAATAAATGTGATGTATGGAATTACAGACCTATTTCCAAATTATGTATCTTGGCCAAAGTTTTTGAAAAAATTATTTATGATGAGCTATTCCCTCTAGTTAGACCAATTATAATTGATAATCAGCATGGCTTTATTAGTAAAAGATCCACTGAAACCAATGTATGTGAACTGATACATCGTGTTTCTTCGTTTATGGATGCAGGATATCAGGTAGACGTTGTTTATACCGATTACTCGAAAGCGTTCGATAAAATATCGCACAAGATTCTACTTCGTAAGCTGGAAGTCTTTGGTATACATGGCGATCTGCTCCGCTGGCTTAGTTCATATCTGCATAATCGAAGTCAGGCAGTTACTGTAAAGGGGCACTGTTCAACTTTTCTCCCCGTTTCATCAGGTGTGCCTCAAGGCTCCCATCTTGGTCCCCTCTTATTCAACTTGTACATCAATGATATTTGTGAAGTTATAAGGCATTCTACGGTTCTTTTATTTGCAGATGATATGAAGCTATGCAGAAAAATCTCTTCTATTGCTGATTGCTCCCTTTTGCAGGAAGACCTAGATAGACTCTGTGAATATTGTAAGGATAACTCTCTACAGTTGAATGTGGAAAAATGCAGTGTTATGTCTTTCACTAGAAAAACCCACAGCGTCCTTTATGAATACCATTTGGGTGGCGATACTGTTTCCCGAGTTATTGAAGTTAGAGATTTGGGTATTTTCTTGGACAGTAAGTTGACTTTTGTACCCCATATGAACCGATCTGTTGCTAAGGCTTATAAGATGCTTGGCTTCATCATGCGAATCGGGAAAGACTTTAAAAGTCCCGCTACGCTAGTTCTTCTTTATAACTCATTTGTACTTCCCATACTTGACTACGGGTCATTAGTGTGGAACCCCCATTACAAGGTCCATAGTGAAAACCTTGAGAGAGTTCAAAAGAAATTCATAAAATACTTAAACTATAGGTGCTATTCATTAGCCGACAGTCAGACACATTTTGAGTATAAATATCTATCATTGGCCAACCGTCGGTTACTGAGAGAACAGTTATTTTTGTTTAAATTAGTCAATAATATTATTGATTCCCCTTACCTATTGAGTCAAATTAATTTTAGATGTCCTAGATTATCTTCTCGAAGTAGGTTGTTTTTTGATCCACAATTAACACGTACGAAATCTGCTCAAAATTCGTTTATTAATCGAGCATGTTATAATTATAATCATAAATTTAATAACATAGATTTATTTAATTATAAAGATGTTTACATTGTTAAGAAAGTGTTTTTAAAATCTTTAATATCTCTATCATAACCTTAAGTCGTTTTTAAATTTGCCTATTCATATTATGTTTTTTTATTATTTTTTTATTATGTTCTGTTAGAGTTTGAGTTTTGCTTTTTGTGTTTTTTTTTTATTTTATAATTTGTTTTTTATTTTATTTTTTTGTAATTCTAACTTAGTCATTTTTATTGTTGTCATTTGTAGTGTTTTTGCAGTAACTTTTGTTAAAATTTTATTATATAGTTTTAATGTTTAAATTATTTATGTTTACTCTACCTGTGACATATTTATAGGTGGAAACTTTGCTGGTGTGTGGACTTTTTAGTTTTTTAATTAATTTTAAGAATTTTGTCACTGTTTGTTTCCCAAAAATAAATAAATAAATAAATAAATTTCATTCCACCCTTCTAAGGCTTTAATTTCAATTTTTTTGGGTTGATGTTGTTACCACATTAAAACAATAATGAATTTATAACAAAAATTTTCACAACAACACTTTTTCTTTACCAGTTGTTCATTGTGATCAGTCTTCAAATCCCATATGTGTATGATGCCGCTCTGCCCACCGACCACGATCTGTGACTGATCAGGATGAAGAACCACTGCATTGACTGGGGCTGGTACTTGAAATATACGCTGACATTGGAATTGATGACCCATTCTGAAACCATTAAATTATAATAATTACAATGTTAGTTGGACTATAATATATTCATATCATATACGTTGTTGACTTTATTATTATTTGATTAATGTTTAACTTGACTTTGTATTTAATTTGACTTATTTTGATTCATTTGATTTACTAATTACTTAATTATTTTTGGCATGTAATGTTTAGTTATTATTTGATCAATTTTTAAATTAGACTTATATTATTTGACTTTTGTTAACATTATTTAAATTAATAATTATAGCTGACAGTTGAAGACTAGTTATGAATCATTTTTATTGAATTTAATTGTATTTATTAATTATATTATATACTTTTGATTATATAATTACAGCAAATGTGATGTACACTTGAAAAGACATACATATCTGATTAATTAACTGTCTTCTAAATGTATAATATAAATGTTAATATGTATGTTGTTAGTGTGCTTTTCTAAATAAATAAATATATGTTAATACTACAAAAAACAAACAATTCTATCCCTCAGGAACTATATATTTTTCAAGGATAAAGTAACCTATATGTTATTCCAGACTATAATCTATCTCTGTGCCAAATTTCATCCAGATCTGTTTAGCCATTCTGGTGTAAAAGAGTAATAAATATCCATACATACTCACAAACTTTCACATTTATGATATTTATACAGATTATATTAAAAATTACACATTATAAATGTAGCAATTATTTTATTATTATAAAATTAATAATTATGTTACCTAATATCCCATATTCTAGCTGTGCAGTCTTCACCTCCTGTATACATCCACTGACCATTTTCCTGATATAAAAAATAATATATAAAAGAAAATCTACTAATGTATTATTTGACATGAAACAATCTACATCTTTCTTTCACTGTTACTACACAAATCATTTAGGATTAGAAATAAGTAATAAGTTATTAACACCTCCAGGTAAATTTCTAAGAAATCTATTGTTAACAGTAACGCCGGCGTGTCCGCGGTCATGGAGGAATTAAGCAGTTGCGACATTATAAAGATTATTACACTCTCTTGAAAAATAATAGTGTTTTTTAAGTAACACTACTCAGGAATGATTTTAACAAAAAGAAGGAGTTTAAAGAATTCCTCAATTTTTGTCATAAAAGTAATATCTGACCATGAGAGCTAAAAACTAAGATGTGAATATTTTAAACAAAGTTACCTGAAAGCCAACTCTTGACACATTTTTAACAACACCCTCATAGTTTAAAACAGGATCTGGATTAGCACTGGCAAGATCATACATTCTTATATGTTGATATCCACATGCAGCCACCATTTGACCATTTGGACTTATTTCCAAATCATTCACTTGCTGTAAAGCATAGATATAAAGTTATCAGTCTATTTATTTAAGGTATACTATCATACCAATTGATATGACTTTAAGACCACCATGCTTGATCATTCATCACACATTCAATGTTGTGCTCAAAAATTGAATTTCATGATTTGACAAAAAAAAATCTAGTATAGAAATTTGTTATGCTGGATCATGTGTTGGGTCATGGTCATTGTGTTCCTTAGTTCCTACCAATAGTACATAAACACTCTTTTATGGTGCAAAGTATATAATATAATGTGTAAAGACAGCATAAGCTATTATAACACTATCATAGAATTATTATTGGATGGAGATTCTTCATAGAGTTCCCATAGTGTCATAATTACTCTATAGAATTATAAATAGGTATATAAGAAATTAATATAATTATACCTATTTATAATTATTTTCTAACTTTGACTAAATAAATTAATCCTTTATTAATTAAATGGCTGAATAAAAAAATAAAATAATGGCACCAAAGACATATGTAAAAATGTATTAATCAGTTAAGCTAAAGTTCAATATAGGTTACCGAGTCGGGATGTTGCATAGTTCGCAAGCAAACCCCGCTGTGGGCTTGCCATAGTTTGATAGTATGATCATATCCTCCCGTTACAAGTGCCACTTGAGAGCCTCCAGTGCCAGTGGTTCCTTCCCCAGACATCTTATATGGTATATTAGAAGTTTTGTCGCATATAAATTAAAAATCAAAAATCATATTCGATCAAGTTACATAGAAATATAAAAGCAGCATTAAAACTAAAATTCATCTACATAAAAAATGAACTGCATTATTAACAAATATTAAAAAATACAATTGCTAAATACTATATTATTACTTCTATATTAGTATGTTGGTATTTTGTTTATAAATCCACAAGCAGCAAGATTAAAGATTGCTTTTTAAATTTGACAATTGACATTTGACATACAATTGTATTTTAAATAGTTTGACACATGCACCATAAACTATAAATATACCTATAAATAAACAATAATCACAGACTAAATAATATTCATCCATGGTAGAGATCATCTATGGAATAGATAAATATTTCTGTAACATACCATTTCTAATTTCAAACAATACGCTTGAAATCTTTGACGGAATTGAAAATATTTATTATCCAGCCATCACTTTTCGACCGATGAAATGTTCTTGTATTATTATCATCGTAAATATTACTGCAAACACCAACTTGATATAATCACGACGATTAAATCCATAATAATGTATTATTTTTAAACAGATTTAACGTGTATGTAATATTGTGGTAACAAAACAATAAGATGAATTTGATTTCATTTGTAATTTCAAATGTCCGAATTATACATTGTACTATTTATTGTCTTTCGACGAATCTTTCTTATTTTTATAGAAATAATAGTGTAAAAATGTTATTGCATGTATAAAGATGATAAAAAGATAAAAATAGAGAAACGAAAGCAAAATAAAACTAAAAAAATATTAAGTCAATTTAATGTATAATATTTATTTCTTATATTTTATCTGTAAAAAACTCAGATGTGAGAACTCTATTTAGATTTTAGAAATTAGGCTATGGTTAATAAATATTAACAAAATGGCTACCATAATGGCTATTCATGAACATGAAAGATCGATGAAGAATAAAGATATAGAATGCAATCTGTCAGACCGATTAGATAAGTCTAATGAATAAAATATTGCGATGTACTTATTTGTAAGCTTCTATTTATACTATTTATCTAGGTATGACTTTCTTTCATTTAATTTGAAGCTACGCTGCGATAAACAGGTTACGTCATCAATGACGTACTAAGAATACGGTTATAAAAACGTGTCTTTAGACACGCTACTATCAACTTCCAACACATGAAAATCAAAACACCAATTTGTAAAATGAAAGACCGGTATAGAAGAATGAAAAGACAAATTGAAAAATAGAATCTTATATGAAATTACTTTATTGAACATGTAAAATCCGTATTGACATGAGGAATGCTAATTCTCATTTACAAAATAACACAAATGTAAAATTTGAGAGACTAATCACATTGAAAACCTACCTATAACTAACTAAAAATACAACATACACATCAATTTCCTAAATTTATATCGCTCAGCGCGGGCGGTAACTCCCGAACTGGTTCGCACTCTTAGCTTAAAGTTTGGTACCATTATAAGCATTGAAATTTACAATGAGAGAGGTAGGTTTAATTAACAATAAGCCGTCACATTCATGAAATTGTCTCTAATTTTACATGTTGACACGATCCCATCAAAACTATCATGTCTATGGGGCAAATTATAATTAGCGTAAATTATACTTATGGCATATCAAATTTAAAGCACAGCTTTACGGCAAAAGTTTGTAGTAGACATACAGTTTTGATAAAACCATTTGAGGTACATTTCAAAGGTGAGCATCCAGTAGTCACAGCGAACTTAACGAGGGAGGGCTAACTGTACAATTTCCCCAGTGAATACATGCTAACACTTAAACATTATTTTTTTTTCAAAGGCTTAGAAACCTAGAGACCCCTAGCCTGTGGTGAAACTTTCCAAATTCTGCACACTTCTAACCTATTAACTATTCAATACTACAAATTAGTAAATAACACCTGTCAAATAATCAACAATTTCATAATGTCGACCAAAAATCTTTATAAATACATTAATAAATGTGTAATTAATTGTTCTTTGAATTAAATTTTTTCTAATACATGTATAAAAATTAAGACAATGCAATACAGACTTTGGAAAGCCAGTCCCATTTTACTTTGTAATAAATTAAGTCCAAGTAAATTATTCAATATGAACAGAATGCCTATGGGTTGGGAGATCATTCGCTTTCCTCCTCTTCTTCCTCACCACCCTCTTCATCCTCAGATTCGTCCTTCTTCTTCTTTGACTTCTATTTGAAAAAAGTAGAAATAAATACTCAATCGAAAACATTATTATACACATAATAGGTATTTACCTATTTCATAAAATCAATAAAGGAGTTATAGTCTATTATTATTACTAAAATAAGTAGACATAGGACATTTAAAGCAACAACACAAAGGCAAATACATACTGCTGGTGCTGCCTTCTTGCCCTTCTTTCCTCTCTTTTGTGCCTTCTTGCCACCTCCTTCTCCACCACCTCCATTAGCATTATATGACTCTAAATCTTTTGTGTACTGTTCCTTAGCTTTGGCCGCCTTCTCCTCCCAAGCCTAATAATAAAAAGAAAATAAATAGTAAAAAATAATAATCAATATAAATGAATAAACCAAATGTCAATCAAATACTCACACTTTTGTCTTTCATTCCTCTCCATATTTCACCTCCTTTTTTAGCTATTTCAGTTACTTTGAGACCCGGATTATCGGCCTTTATTTGTTCTCTTGCGCTATTGAGCCAAAGCATATATGCTGACATAGGACGCTTCGGCTTGTCCGTCATTTTAACTTTTTTCCTGAAAGTAAATAAAATATTATTAGTCTAATATAAATCAAGAACACGATATATTATTACACGGCTACAGCATTTTATGGTAACGTGCTTCCATGCGACTATGAAGCGTTCCAAAGGAAACATTTTGGCGGGAAACGTATTTACTGCTTCATACAAAGAAAATAGTACCTCTAATATTAAATTTATCGTGTAACGCATTAATCTGCATTAAAATAAAAGCAAAATCATAATGTTTTAATGTAATAATCGATGAAATTAGTTATCGCCCCTTATAACGAGTTCACTGGCCTATACGCGAGTCGAACGAGCCATTTTGTTTTCTCATATTGTGTTGAAAATACGCATTAACTATAAATGACATAATTGCCAAATGAATCTAAACTTAATAAACTTTAACTTGTAGAAGAACTGTTTCAGTCGTTTAATGGAAAAGATTCGAGAAATTAATTATTTAAATAGGGCGTCCTTTCTTATACCCACGCGTACTAAGGAAAGTACGACGAAACCTATGGCCATGTTTGACTCAGAATTCCAACGTGGATTAAAATTTATTTTAATGAATCACACACTTATAATCACAATAAAGCATATTTAAACACATATCAATTATTAGAAAACAGATTTGACTCACCTTATGGCAAAAATTTTGAAATGATTTTTGAACTGGTACACAACCAAACTGCAGACGTAGAGAACCAGAAGAAAATGTATGGAGCTCGAAGCAATGTTCCCAGAGCAAGCTAGCTTGGGTTCGTCTCGCGTCGCTACCACGGCGCCCTCTATGTCGCACGCTATTGGCGGACAAAATCAGTTTAGCCAACTTTAGGATGTTATATGAGCATCTTGTACTACGTATATCCGTGACGTACAGTTCGCAAAGAACACGCTAATTTGTACTGTAAAGCAAGGTACCAAAGTTTATATCTGAATAAAAAAAATCACTCCGTACATTATAATCAAAAAATGTTTTTGCTGAATTATAAAGAAAATAAGCTAAATTACAACAAAATAACTTACCAGTGAAATGGTCAATATACAAACAAATATTTTATAAGATAGTTTCTGAAAGATTATTTTAAGAAGTATGTCAAAAAGTGGCCCAATCCTCTTTTAGGTTTCTCTTATGAGACTCTAACAAAATACCTCGCGCCGGATTTTAAATGCCGCCAACGTTTATTTCGAAAAAGTAAAAAGCGCGGCAAACGTGGGTGAGAAAGGGATGCCAATAAAATATAACGTTTGAGATCGCGTTTGTTTACGATTTGATATTTTGAAGGAACTTGAGAAATAGTTTTTATCTCTTGATATATAAGGGTGTAGTACTTAAGATGTTAGCAATAAAATACATTCTACGTCTCTAATTTACGGTTGATAAAAGATTAGGAATATTTTACTATAGTAGGTCCAGGAAGCGTCTTTCGACTAAATAAAGATATTACTTGAAATATTGATCATAAGTGTCAAGACACTTATGATTTAATCAATAAACTAATCAAAATTCATTTGAAAAATGTTTTTTTAGATTATAGCCGCTTTTATAACAGCCCTATAATGCATTCTGATAACAAATCACTACTTTGTTTTCTCATATTATAGCTTGTTTTTTTTATATAACGCTTTCTTGTTATAATGAATAAATAAAACATTTGTAGATGACACTGAAAACTAAGATACAAGTATGCAGTCGCCTACAATTTACAATGCTTGAATTAGGGAACATGTAATATTGGTCAAGCTTATGGAATTATCTCTATTCAATTTGAGAGATGAACATGTTTTGGGGTTCTGTACCTCAAAACGCACCCTTGAACTACGTCAACGCAATCAAAAGATACGGCCGTTTTAAATTCTGCTTAGTTTGACACTTGCAACGGAATCAAAACCATTAAGGTATTTCCCGTTGAATTAGAATCATGTTTGCCAAGAAGCTATGTATTATAGCACGAGTAAAAGGAAAAATTATAAAACCGTATAAAGTACCTAGGTAACTGAATAAGAGTACCTATAAAGCGGATTGTACGAGAAGAGTTGTAATTAACTAGCTAAAAAAGAATGATATAACATACATTAGACAGGAAGTTAAACATAATACTGAATAATATGTTATTATGTAATATATGTTAACGTTTGTAATTTTTGGTATATTTTAATTATTGAAATATTGCATACTGTAAGGCTGAATTTGCCTGAACATATGTTATTATCATAATATAAATGTATGTACTAACCCAAGTTCGGAATAAAGTGTTTGATTTGATTTGAGTTTAAAGGGAAAATAGACCGATTTTGATGAGATTATTGATATATACTAAATTATTAAAATGTACATTTATAAATACATTAAATTTAAACTATGTATGTAAATATGGCCAAGTTGTGATCTTGTCAGAGCATTCAGTCGCCAGAAGCATTATTCTAATAATATTTCTTTTATGAGAGCTAGAGCACTTGTTAAGTAAGTAAGACGACTAAGTAAATAAAGACCACAAGTTAAAATGTGCATTTTGACTTTATGTTATTTGTAAAGATATATTTAATTAAAGAGTTAACAGGGTTTAACACACCATGATAAATCATGGTGTGTTGAAACCGTTAACTTTTATAACAATATTTAATTATTAATGTGCGCCTCTACGTTCAAAATACATTATAGATTTCGCCTCAAATAGTTTTATAGTTATTTTATAATGGCTGCAGAGTGAGTTTTTACTCATTTTAATATGTTCTTGCGAACATTGAAAGCAGGAGACTCAAACTTAAAGAAGATCTTTTAATTCATCGGTACAGTATAATTAAAAACTTACGGTATGTTACTTATGGTATTCGTCCTACTGAAACCGGATTAAGTGAAACGTGATTTTTAGACATAACTGGATAAATATATAATTATTATAAAAATTGGTAATCATACCAATATATTTTGGTATCATATAAATAATTACTTACACAAAATGGCACCCAGAGCCAAGAGAGACCCAAGAAAATGCTTGATTAATAATAATTAACCACATTCAGTACAAGTACAATTATAATAAATACTAGCGGCTCACCCTCGCTTCGCTCGGGTTCACCTCTAGAAAAACACAAACAGATCTATCCCACGGGAACCGTTCATTTTCGCGGGATGAAAAGTAACCCGTTGTTAGACCGCCAATATAAGGTATCAGCATGCAAAATTTACTAAATTAGGTGGATAAGTTGTTGTGTACTAAGCTGTATAAGTTACTATAGTTTTTAACTATCCCACGGAAACTCTTTAATTTTCTAGAATGAAAAGTATCTTAGATGTTGACCGGGGTATGAGGTACTACCATGCAAAACTTCATATAAATCGGTTCAATAGTTTCGGAGATTAGCCCGTACAAACAAACAAACAGACAGAGAAACAAAAAAAATGAAAAAGAAAACTGGATTTGTTCTATTTCTTTTCTTTCGGGATGTAAGAAGAGAACTGACTCGGTTTTTAGCATTTTTTTTCTAACCTCTACAGTTTTATTATATGTATAGATAGAATAAATAACGTAATATATTATAATGAAAATAGATATAGCCAGTGTACCTTAGCAGATAGACATATACTATGTAGAACTTTTCTATAGACCTTTTTAAGACTTACAATTTTTTTGCAAAATGTTTTGATCTTCCTCTTAAAGTTGAGCCAACGTTACCCATAAAAATTTCTAAAGACGATTCGATAGAACCAGTTATTGTGTTTTCCCGTGGGAATGAATAATTTGCCTGTCGTAAAAGGTATCCTAAATGTTAAAAGTTGACCCGAGTACTAAGTAATCACTATACAAAATTTAATTAAAATCGGTTGAGTACTTTTTGCGTGAAACGCGCACATCAATTTGACTAAGTTAATTTTATTATACGTATAGATAAGAATAAATATTGCGAGTGTAACTTAGGAAGATTGACATATACAATTCAGAACTTTTCCGTAGGACTTTTCAAGACCTACAATTTTTTAGTATATTGTTTTAATGTATGTATGTATGTCTTAAGGCTTAGCCAGCAGAAGGTTTTTAGGGAGGACTCGATAAAACCAGTTATTGTATTTTTCCGTGGGAAAGAAAGATTTTCTTGAAGTAAAAGGTATCTAGGCAGCGGTATCCCAGTGGTAACGCGCTCGCTTGGGAAACCGATTGAAGCAAGTTCAAATACCGGGTCTCGCACCTCTGATATTTTCATGTGTGAATCATTTCCAATATGATTATCACTTGTCTTACGGTCAAGGAAAACATCCTGAAGAAACCTGCATGTCTGAGAGAATCTAGCAAGTTTTCAAAAGACATGTGAAGTCCGCCAACCTGCACTTTTCCAGCGTGTAGACTATGGCCTGATCCCTCTCGTACTGAAGGGAGGTCCGTGCCCAGCAGTGGGACGTTAAAAAGGGCTGAATACATACATAAATACATACATACAAAAGGTATCCTAAATGTTGACTCAAGTAATAAGTTATCACTTCACCAAATTTCATTGAAATCGGTACATTACTTTTCGCGTGAAACGCTCAAGCAAAGACAGACAAACAGATATACAGGCAAACAGACAAACAGACAATTTTTTAATAGCTATTGTTTTGGGGTTTATGTTGTGAACATAATACGTTACAAATAAACAAAAACATCTATCCCACGGGAACAGTGCATTTTTCCGGGATAAAAAGTAACCAATTTGTTATTCTGATGTATGAACTATATATATTATTGTAAAGTTTCATCAAAATCCAATCAGTAGTTTTTGTGTACTAAGCTGTATAAGTTACTATAGTTTTTTACTATCCCACGGAAACTCTTTAATTTTCCGGGATGAAAAGTAACTCATTTGTTTTTGTCATGTATGAACTATATTATTGTAAAGTTTCATTAAAATCCAATCAGTAGTTTTTGTGTACTAAGCTGTATAAGTTGTTATAGTTTTTTAACTATCCCACGGGAACTCTTTAATTTTCCGTGATGAAAAGTATCTAAGATGTTGCCCGGGGATATAAGGTACTACCATGCATAATTTCATTTAAATCGGTCTAATAGATTCGGAGATTAGCCCGTACAAACAGAAAAACAGACAAACAGCTCGCTCGGGTTCGTCCATACCTACGAATATGTTGTATTATCTCTTTAACCATTTGTCCAAATTATATGCAGTAAAAGGGAAAAGTCTTTTGTTTTAAACATTTTAGACGATAAATTTACTTATTTTGATAAGAATTCATAATTGTTGATAATATGACCAAAAAACATGACCTACCGATTTAAATGATTTTTTTAATATAAAAAACTACTTTTTGTGACTTAAATATAAAAGTTAGACATATGCTGTCGCTGACTTTTTTGTAGGCATTATTAAGCTCTACAACTTTTCTCTAGAACATAATCATATATCTCTCATCGTTAAGGCAGCGTTCGTAAGAAACGTTTTCGTTCGACCGTTTTTTCTCCGACTTACTTTGCAAATCCGACTACCACGAAAAAGCCTTTTCATTTTTCGGGTTAATATATAGCCTATGACACTCAGAAAGAACGTGGCTTTCTATTGGTAAAAGAATTTTGAAAATCGGTTTAGTAGATCCAGAGATTACCCCCTACAACGTCACAAACTCACAAACTCACAAGATCACAAACTTTACCTCTTTATAATATTAGTATATATACATGCAACATAAGTACATCTCCTGCTGAGTAATAACTATTTTTACATCTAACTTTGCCTTTAATATGAGCTCGCTCGCCAATGTAATGTTTTAATAATAATTTTATTGGGACATTAACACACTGCATCATCTAGTTCCATGGTAAGCTACGAGGCTTGTGTACAATATAGTATGTATAATACCTGGTATCCATAAGGATACCAGGTATTATACTACTACACACAGGTAGTTACTAATATACACATATATAACTTTTAAATACATACATTATAAATATAAACACCTATGATTTATTATTGAGTAAATTCAAATGTGTTAACAAGTCATCCCAATAAAGCAAAAGTACCGTTAGACGGTTAGGCAGTTCGAGCGCAGGTACAAATACTTTTTGCTGTTGATCTACAGCGACGGACGATAAAATGGTTTTCAAATACTTTGTGTACAAAACTACATATTTTATAAATGGCACTTTTAAATGAAATAATATTTAAAAAATGAATTTCATAATTTTTAAAATAGATCTAGCTTACTGTAGTCGACTTCCATCGACTCAGGACAATTAGCGATTGTATTCGTACTTTAAATTCCTTAATAAAAAGTATACACTCGATCCTTTTAATAAGCTAAATGCTGTAGTAGAAATGTGATCCCTCATTTGTTATAGATACAGTCTACAGAATTAACTGTGCTACGTTTATGTCCAGAATTTCTACCTATTTCTGCGAAAGAGCTTATAGATGTTTCATCAGCTGTAAAGTATGCTGTATGGCATTCAATTAGGACAGACTTGTAACAGTTTAGTGTTTACCATACAAGTTACAATCATGTCATAATTAAAGTTGGTAGAAAGTATTAAAGTACTTGAATTAGCTACTCGTTAAGTCTGAATCACAGATATTAGAATAAGCAAATATTATGTATAGAGCAAGAATCGATTTAGTATTACATAGCCCATAGGTAACGTTTTCTATAAAACTAGTAGTTCTGCGAAAAGTAGACCTCGCGAGGACAAACTGTATTTTGAGGAGCTATTCTGCTCATCTCGCCGAGGATCCTCATCAGATCTTAAACAAATTTTTATACGACCACTACCTTTCAAATGAAATGATATAAACTCTATTGAAGACTTATTTTGAATCGTCAATTTAATGTAAGCGTCAGTGTAGTCAGTCCCTGAGGAAGCTACCACCGGCTTGGAAAGCAGTTCTGCTGAGAAGAACTGGCGATGAACTCAACAGTTGCTGTTTTAAATATCGAAGTTGTATTTATTTTATTAACATAACATTATAAAAAAAGAACCATCGAAATAGGATCTCATCTCGAGGACATGTATACCAAGTTTCTTTCAAATCGGTTGTAAAATATGACCTATAGAGGAGTACCAACATACTGACAGAGGAAAGTAAATTTTGCTGCAGCAGAGATTCTTCGCTGGCTTCGCTAGTTCGGTCAAAAAAAAGTAACGAATCAGTAGTATTTTCCCATGAAGGTTAGATCATTAGATAGATAGGAATCTAAAGAGTGTCAACTTTTAATATGGGGTTCTAACTAGGTACCACAAAGAGGAAGTCGTTGATTTAATACTATTATTAGTTATTACTGTCAGTGTAGTACAAAAAACTACTACATAGAATATTGAGTGAAAATAAGTGCATGGCATTAAATGCACCACATTTTAATAACAATGGAGTTGTTGTGAGCAATGTTACCCTTCGGAAAAAAAGGGTGCGCAGTGGCATCTGGTAGATAGTTTCGCGCCTTTTTGCAGGCCTCATTTCAAGCCGAATGATATTCTTAACTTTTCCGTTTATGTAAACATTTAGTTTATTTATATTTTTTATTTTCGTTTTACTTGTTTAAGTTTTAATATAAAATACCTATAATATAATAATATGTACTTATGTTTACTATAGGTTCATATTTGTTGGTTTGGTAAAATAAAACATGTATAGAAATCGCAAATAGTCGTGTTGTCGAGGCTCGGTATGGGGAGATAGTACAGAATGTATTAAGTATCAATCATCTCATACAAACTCAAAACAAAGCATATGTATGGAATTAAGACCCCTACATAATAAATAAAACTTTATATGAAGTATATCAATCTGATCTGCAACTAATTAAACAAATTAAATTACATCACATCAGAAAATTATTTTAGTAAAATATCGCATTTAATTTTGTGCTTACAAATACATCCAGACAATATTATATTAGTAGATAAATAGCGCGTCATAATCCTTAAATAACCCTTCTCTTGACCTTCGCCTAACTAACTAGGCACAAAAACAACTACTAGGGTCGAAGCTAGCACTTGAACAATTAGTTGCGTGAGCGACGAAAGGTCAGAGCAGCATCCTGGTATTTAGCAGGTATATAAGGAACAAAAATCCGTAAAACGCCGCCGCTATCCAGCTACCTCCGAGAAATAGGGGGATGTACAACGTTGAAAAATAGTTTTTCTTCAATTTCTGGCTTGCTGTGACATCCTATCGAAAAATATTTTTTACAAAAGTTGTAGGTCTAGTAAAAATCTACGACTTTTGTAATAACCAAGTTCTCGATAATCCAAGTTTTCGACATACATATTTCCAAAAAAACGCTTTTTTAATTTTTTGTTTTGTTTTTTTTTTTTTAATTTCGGCAATAATTTTTTGATGTTCATGAAACTAGGAGAATATAATCTTCGGAATACATATAATAACATATATTTTTTTGAAATTGAAATGTTTAGCCGTTTCCGAAAAATTTATATGTTATGGTCTCGGGAGGCTTAAAATCACCTCCAACTTCAATTTTATTTATTATTCAATTTCAATTTATTATTCAAGTGGATGTTTACATTTTAAAAAAATTGTCGTTCAATTTTCAGGTAGGGTTCATTTTTTCCATCTCTATTTACTATATTTGTATACTCTACTATTTGAAAAAATAAAAACATTGTACGGTCGTTTTGTAAAAACACCCTTAAAAATTGTAAAAACTGGAGAAATCTAGAATTTTTACTTTTTAAACTACATTTTATTAATAATCATTGAAAAAGTGTATTTTATTTATATTTTATTTAAATTAAATAAAAACTTATTAACGAATAAAAACTTTTTTTTTCGAATTAGGTACTTAAAAACGTATATTTGACGTGACCCCCATGATTTTCAGTTTACATTTAGTCATGTAAGTGCAATTTTAATTATAATATAAATCATTTAAATAACCTTCAATTAGTATGATATTTATTTTATTCCTTAATATAACAAAAACTTAAAGCATATCACGTACAAAAATCCTAAGGCCACGTTCACACAACAATGTTAACAGAACAAATATGTACTAATCAAATATACTTCAAAATTCAATGTAATTTTTTGTGTACAGCTTTTAAGACTTCTATATGACACAATTATTTAACCTCACTAAAATCAAGATATTGAAAAACAATGTAGAATGAAATAATAAAAATTGTAATGCTAGAAACTATCTTTTCGGATTTTTTCGCGGATTTATTTAGATTTTTTGTTCCCGACTTTTCGAATACTTTATGGCAGATTAGGCTAGATTTGTTAGTTAATATATATATATATATATATATATATATATATATCTCAAGTTATTTATATTTTAATATAACTGATCGTTGTGTGAACTAGCTAGGTTTAATGGACTTAATCACTATCGCTCCCACTGCCACTCCCTTCGCCGGAACCCGATGACGCCGCTTCAGATGAGGAATGTTTCGCTTTCTCTTTTTTAGATTCTTCACTCTGAAAATAAAATTATTTATTAGACGTTAATATGTTAACAGCTTTAGTACGAATATAATTAATGTGCTGCCATGAAATATATAAATACGTAGAGCCCCATCAGTTCGAAATAAGACTTTTTAGCTCAACATTTCTAAAAAAAAATTGACTTCGTATACTTTCCAAACAGATTAAATTATGATATTCATAGTTCGATCAATTTTCTTATTTAAACCTAACTTTATATAAAAATATTTTTTTAAATCTAGAAAAGCGTTACTTATAAAATGAACTAAGCAATTTATTTGTCAATTTCATATCTTTTATAATCAGTAAATGCGGCAGGGTATTATTACGCCAAAAAATCGAAACTCTATTATTCCATCAAGCTTTTACTACATATTTATAAATTGTATAAAAATGCTAAACAAGGGTGCACGTAAAATTTTTGGGAAACGCCCAGAGAACAGGGGAGTTATAGCGTCATCAACAGCAGTTCACAGGCGTGAATATTACATTCGCAATGTTTGAAAAACTTAACACTCAGTGAGTGTAGTCCAGGGCTGCCAGATCGTATAATTGGATACGAACATTGTAAAATATGGTTATTTTATGTATACTTCATTTTAAGTTGTTACATATTTTTATTGATTTTTTTTATTCATCACAGACTATTTCTCAACAGTTTTGTTAATTTGTATACTAAAATTTGATTTGGTATAATTTGAGTGAGCTAGCGGTATAAAATAAGTTGACTCTACTGGCAGCCGTTGTCTCTACTGGCAGCCCTGGTGTAGTCCACTATATATACGCGAGTAGACTACCATTATATTGCATTGTGTATATAATACGATAATAATTATTAAAGCTTACAGATTTAGTTGTCTTTTCTTTCTTGTCACTGCCAGAGTCTGAGGAGCTGTCATCATCCTCGATATACTCCTTACTCTTGAAAGACGTTGGTCCAGAACTAGAGCTAGTGTTCTTCGCCTTCTTAGTCGGTGGCGCCTTGGACTTCTTCTCTGCACTCTTACGTTCCTTGTCCGCTTGTTTTTTTTTCTGCTTAAACTCGTCGGCTGCACCACTCTCTTTGTACTTCTTCATCGCTTGATTGTATTCTTCTTTCGCTTTGTTGGCTTTCTCTTCCCATTCCTAAAATATTGTAATTTATATATACAGAAATGTAATATACTATGTATTTTTTTCTCTTATTTACTTTATTTCTTCAGTATAATACAATTTATACGTATAGTAAGTAACTGTACTTGCCAAAGCTGATATAATATAAAAAGGAATAAACACAATGATTTCAATTTTAATATCCATTTATTGTATCTTTGTACATATATTCCATATATTATAAATATATAATTAAAATTATAATTATATATTTTCAAAATTAACATCTACAAATTAAAGACACCAGAAGCATATATAGGGGTTAATCAAAATAATCATTCCATTCCATGGTTGCAACCATGGACTGCAAGTATTTCCCTAACAATAAACAAAGTTACTTGACATGCAACAATGTGAAGCTCAAGCTATTAGGTTTACACTCCAACAGTGATGTGTTAAGAGAAAGAGACAAAATAGTGTGCACAGTGCCCAGCGCATACACTAAAGGGAGCTAGTGGGTTCTGTGACATCTACATCATCTGAGTAAATCTCCCAACAGAGCATCATACAACTGTGCAATGATAGATACTATTACATAAGCCGACGGTGTGAGTTTCTTTTGATCGTGTCACATTTGTCCTGAAATTGTCCACAGCTTGAACCGGAATAAAACGGTTTTTCAACCAGTAACGCGTACGAGAACTCATCGATGAGCTGTCACGCACACATCGCCTAAACACACACACATCTAGTAGCGTAGGTACTTACACCTCAATAGAAGAAACAGAATACACACAACATCCTCAATAGAAATAGAGAGAACACACACAATACCGTCAACAGTTTACAGTACCCACCGACTTGTCCTTGAGGTCGCGCCAGAGCTCGCCGCCGCGCTTGGCGACGTCGGTGACCTTGACCCCGGGGTTGTCCTCCATGATACGCTTGCGGTTCTCGTTGAGCCACAGCATGAAGGCCGTGGCGGGGCGTTTGGGCGCGTTGGCGTCCTTCTCGCGCTTCTTCGACTTCTCTTTGCGTTTGCGTGGCGCTTCCGACTATGGACAAATATGCAATAAGTACATTATTATTTATTAAGTTCACACAAAAAAAAATTATACAATGTTGAACTTTTCTATAGTATTCTCTTATGTATACGTAAATACCATAGAGTCTCATTAACAACAACAAAGACAAAAAAGAACAAAGTAAAAATTAGTTACAAAATATTATAACAGATGGCGTAATATGTAATGATTTGTTTTTAATGTTCACCTAAAATTCAAAATCCAAAAAAAAGAATGAAAAAAGTGTTTCACCTAATTTGAAAGAATTATTTAAAGTAAGGGAAAATTTAATAACGGATAAATATATGTATTATATAAAAAAAAATATAAAATTCAATAATATTCCTATATTTTTGGCGGCAATACTACGTTGTGATAGCACGATCTTTAACCATAATTATGAATACTCTATTCATGGATGTCGCTCAATATAATAAAAAACTTGTTAAATGTAATTATGTAATTTATTTTAAAAAATATAATATTTTAAAGTTATAATTTGTAATTGCCATAGTGGCCTTGAGAGGCCTGACATAGATGTAACATTACGCAGCGGCAGCTCGGGCACAGATACCTTAGCTTTTTCGCCATCTATGATTTAGAGCCTTTACAACTAGAGGTGCTGCTGTTATGTGTCAACACTACCCTAACTACCCTACTAACGAATACAATAATAATAATGTGGCATTAACTTATACATACATATATACCACTTATACCAATTTAATATTTTAAATAATTTGGATACAAATTTTTTATGCTTCTCAGTAGATAAAGCCTTTGTAAAAACGTCAGCTATCATTTCCTCAGTACATAAATAACTTAATTTAATATATTTTTTTGTTTAACAAATAACAATTCTCTGATGTAATGGTATCTGATATCAATATGCTTTGTTCTTGAATATGATATAGTATTAGAACACAACTTTTGAGCAGACTGGTTGTCATTATACAAAGTAACTTTACATGTCTTACCACTACCAGTACACTCATTTATAAACGATTTCTTTACAAGATAGAAACCCCCATGTACTCAGCCTCAGTGCTCGAGAGCGCGATAGTGCGCTGCTTACGACTTTCCCATGATACTATGGATTTACCAAGGCAAAATACATACCCTGTGTAGGATTTCCGATCCAATTGGTCTCCGCCCTAATCAGCATCAGCAAAACCAAAAATTTCAATTTTTTTTTAAATTAGCGAGTACTCTAAAGTTCCTTTTATATACCTTAAAACCTTTTTCGCAGATTTGTAATGGCACTCACGATGGCAATCGTTGAATTGGCTTAAGAAGCTAACACTGAGCAATATCAGGTCTGGTACATACCGCTAAATACATTAAACAACCAATCAACACATTTCACAACTTAAATCCTACTTCCATAGGAGTTTTTACTTCCTTACAATCTGCCATTTTAAACTTAACAAATATATTCTTTATTTAGCTAGATTGATTCAAAGTACAGTTTCCGTTAGGTAATCTGGTAATTTTCATACCTAAGAATTGATGTGTCGGTCCTAAATCCTTCATCTCAAATTGATTCATCAACTTATATTTGATGAGCTTTGCTTTCCGGGAAGTTTTTGAAGAAAATAACATTATATTATCAACATAAATAGCTATATACAAAATTTCATTGCCATCATTGTATATTTACACACATGGTTCTGAAGAAAACCTCTTGAAATGTAATTTATTGATTAAAACACTATTAATTCTCTCATACCATGCCTTAGCGGTTTGTTTTCATCCGTAAATTGCCTTGTTAAGCTTGTAAACATTATGCTTATTATTATCAATTACAAAACCTTCCGGTGGTTCCATGTAAACATTTTCTTTTAAAATTCCATTCAAAAATGCTGTTTTAACGTCCAAGTGCTCAATCAACATGTCATACTGAGCAGCTAATGCTAGCAATATTCTGATAGTTGAGTATCGAACTACAGGAGAAAATATTTCATGATAATCTATCCCATATTTTTGGGTAAAGCCTTTAGCCACCAAGCGAGCTTTATATTTTAAGAATCAAGCCCTCTCTTTTTGATAAAAACCCATTTGGATTTTACAGGCTCATGGCCTGGAGGTAAATCAACTAGAGTCCAACATTTGTTTGTGATAAAAGATTCATACTCATCTTTTATCGCCTCTTGCCAATGTTTTGAATCGCTGCATCTCATTGCCTCTTCCACATTAGCAGGCAAGTCCTCCTCAGACTTTTTAGAGATTTATACTAATCCAGCGAACTTAGATGTTTGAGCTTCTTCGAATGATAGCTCCCCAGATTCCTCAAAATCAATGCTTGATAAGCCTGGAACATAAGTGCGGTCGGCCGAATCATCTGAGGCTACCAAATCCTCTGTTACATCAAGATCAAACATTGTTTGTCGACGAGTATTTATCGCGCCTGTATTATAATTAGATATAGAATCATCATCTATTGATATAGACCTGTCTGTAGAGATGACTGAACAGGTTTTATAGGTAATTGTACTGAAAGAATTAAGAGTACTAGCTACAAGACTCTGTGAACTTATAGCCTTTGCTATCATCACAGTACCCTACAAAAAGATACCTTTTGCTCTTAGCGTCCCATTTTCTAGCATTCTCATCGATGGCATATGCTATACAACCGAAAATTCGTAAGTATTTTATGTTCACCTTTATATTAGTCCATTTTTCTTTTAGTGTTTCTTCCTTGACTGCCTTAGTAAGTGAACGGTTCTTAAGGTAGACGGCTGAGTTGGCAGCATCAGCCCAGTATTGTTTATTCAAGCCGGCGTCCTGGAGCATGCAGTAGGTCTTATGCATAATTGTCCTATTTTCCCTCTCTGCTACACCATTTTGCCGACTACAGTGTGGAATTGTAGTTCTAGGTTTAATCCCGCTTTCATTTAAGTAGGCCTGATTTACAGAGTTAAATTCACATCCATTGTCACTTCTAAGAACTTTTATTTTCCTACTTACTTCGTTCTTTGCAAAAGTTTTTAATAGTTAAAAATTTTCTAATACTTCACTTTTTCTTTTAAGAAAGTATATTGTGAAGTCATCAATAAATGTTACAAAGTAACGTGCTTCACTCCAAGAAGATGACTGCATAGGACCACACACATCGGTGTTTGCTAGTCCTAAAATTTCAGTAGCCCTACTTTGACTTTTCTTTGGAAAAGGATATTATACCATTTTTCATTAAATTCATGCTCCGTGCATTCAGATGATCAAGCCGCTTATGCCACAGCTTTTGTGAAGTTGAATCTTGCACAACCACCAGTGCAGAATCCTTACACTTGAAGCACACGATCTTTGAAGTTTTTCTTTCAGCTAATGCATTGATCCCATCTTGACTCTTATCATCTTGCCTCTGCTGCCCCTGTAGTAACTTTGATTTGACCACCTCACTTGCGAGTTTTATATTAGAATTTTCTAAGGCATTATCAAAAGGTCAAAGTCCCCTGTTACATCACTGAGCATTATAAGAGCTAAGATTCATCATCAAGTGCGCATCCAATGTCTGACAACTGCTGCCCAAGTTCTGTAATTTTTAATAAGTAGTTCTGCATACCTTCTGTCTCACACAGTCTCATGCCAAATAGCGATCTCAGCAAACTCAGTCATCTGCATAGTCCTTTGTCGTCGTAAGCGCGCTCAAGGTTTTGCCAGGCTTTATACGGACTATTCGCATTGCGAACGTGAGCTAACGCGGATGGACCAACAGATAGACAGATTTTTGCTTACGCTTTTCTTTCTTTTCGTCTTTAATATCTCCATCCGTTACGCAATCAAAAAGATCTTCGTGCATTAAAATCATTTTCAGTGTGAACTTCCAATGCTTGTAATCTTCTAAATCCTTTCGTTTCTCGACAGGAATACTAATTGGCAATGACGACGCCATTTTTTTATCTTTGAAATTATTATTATTATACTGAATTTTTTTTTGTATAGTATTTAATTTCAATTTGTAATTATATAAATATTATTTATTTGTAATTAAATATTATTGTAATTAAAAGTGCAAATAAACGTAATTATGTTGTTTTATAAACGTTCTGGGCCCATAACCTGAAGGATTGGTACAATCTATGTAGCGATTAAGAGAAGAGAGAGCGTTGTCACAGTTGACAATTAAAATATTATTTATTATTCTTTTACTGTTATGTGCAAACATTTAGAACAAAAAAAAATAGCCCGCTGAGTAAGCGCGGATAGCGATGAATATTTATATAGGATGCAATATCTGTACTAGTATAGTATTATATCATCTGTGATAATACATATATTATAATAAGTTGCGAGTTAGTATGAAAAACCATTTATATTTTTTTTGTATTATGTATTTATAACATTTTATTCCTTTATGATTTCTTAAAAAAAAACCATTTAAAGTTCTTACTAATTTTGTGTTCATACAAACTCATTTCACGTTTACATCTTCTTAATGAAGCATAATCTATACATATAATAAAACAGTAACTTAGCGAAATCGATGTGCGCATTTCCATTTTAACCATTTTAACAAAATTTTGTGTAGTGATAACTTATTATTCGGGTCAAAATTTCGGTTATTTCTTACTACAGGAAAATTTTTCATTCCGGTAAAACAGGTAAAACAGAATAACTGGTTCTATCGAGTCGTCCTTAAAAAATTATATGGCTAACGCTGGCTAAACTAAAGGCCTACAGAAAAATCAGCAATTGTACCTATATGTTTATTTCCTAAGATACACTCACAATAACTATTTTTATGTATCCAAATAAAAGTTTAGTTTACCCATTACAAAGAGAAAAAAATGCATTTTTGTTTGTAATGGGTAAACTAAAAACCCCCTGAACCGATTTAGATGAAACTTGGTATGAAAACAGTTTGAGACCTCGGGAAGGACATAGGATAGTTTTATTCAGGAAACCATCCCATAAGCGGGTGAAAAGGGGGATATATGGACAATCAATCATTTCTCAAGGAAGAGATATAAAACTCATTATACATGTGTATATAAATATACTAATTTATAGTCTATCTAATCTATTCCATACTAACCATTAACACGTCCCTAAGGATGAATGAACCCGAGCGAAGCGAGAGTGAGTCACTAGTGTATAAATAAATTATTATACAAAAAAATTAAAATTATCTTATTACATGGAGACTTTTGTACAAATTTTGTTAAAGATGCGATAGGTTTACATCCACACTTTATATATTAATATTTACATACTTACAATAGTTATAGTCTTTTTAGGTTTCTTTTCTTTTTTCTTTTCCTTTTTACTATCTGTAGACCCAGCTGAAGCATCAGAGTCTTCGGACGATGATGGATTAGTATCATATCTAGAAAAAATATATATATTGTGTGACTTCCCTATATTTTAATTATATCAATTTTAGCGTAAGGAAAAAATTGATAGAATTAGAGATGTACCGACTAGTGGCCGCCAAGTCGGAAAAACCGACTTTGCGGCCAGAAGCTTCGACTAGTCGGCCATTACTTTTTTCATATTACTATTCTTAAAAAAGGATTATTATTATTTATGAAAAATATTATTTTCATTAAATTCAATTATATAATTTTGTGGATAGGCTGTAGGCACTCTCTGTAACAACTATGTATTGCCTTTGAGACGTCTAAAACCTTAGTCTCATTCGGGATCATTATTGCTGTAAAGTGTAAAGCATTTGAAACGTCGGGAACCAAATATAAAAATAAATCCGCAAGAAAATCCGACAAGATAGCTTTATTTAAAATGTCAAATATTCGCGTAAATCAAAGAAAGTATGACATGGCAGGTACTTTCACTATTTTCCAAACTATCTTAGCTTTTGTTTTATTTTATTTTTTGGTTTATTTAAAAAAAACATAACAAAATGCAAAATAAACAAAAACCGGGCACGATGACGTGCAAACACATGCGATGCGTGCAAAGGATGCGAAGGGCGACAAACATGCCGCCCGAACATCGTGGAAAGCAATGTTCGGCTAGGCCGACTAGTCGGCCGATTAGTCGATCCTTTTCCAACCGACTAGTCGGCTAGTCGGCCAAACTCATAGTCGGACCATCTCTAATAGTAGTATGAAGAACTTGAAGGCCGTTTGATCCTATTAGAAACATCTCATCATCATCTTAGTACATTATATACTATATAGTTTATGTATTAAACTTTAAAATCAATCGAAAACTGCCGGGATTAATAACACAATGGATTGATTTGTTGGATAATTATAGGCACGTCTACGTGCTACGTTTTATTTCAGTCAATCTAAAAATCTAGTTTGCGCTCTGCGTTTAATATTTGTGCCCATATATGGGGATGAAATAGAATAAATGATAACAGAAGAGTTGACGACAACTAACTTGCCACGAGCTGACACTACATTGCTTTAACTTTGAAACCATTTAAATATTAGTATTTTTGGAGAGCACTTGCATTTGGTAATATTAACTTCAATAAAAACTTGCTGTATGAATTTTCATACTATGCCGTGGACCGTGGTACACAATCGTAGTGATGCATTATAACAGTAACAGAACTAGCGACTAGATTCGCAGACAAAAGATGAGCATTGCATCTGGGTGCTCGCCTCTACTAAAGATACATTTACCGATGAAAAGCATATTAGATTATTGTTTAGAGCACACAGATTGCTAAGTAAAAAAAAAAATATAATAGCGTGTACTAACTCCTCGGCCACATCGCTCTCGTTGGCCTTGTCGGGGTTGAAGTCCTCGTCGGTGCTCTCGTCGTCGTCGCTGTCGCTGTCGCGCTCCTTGGCCTCGGCCTTGACGCGCGCGAGGTACGCGTCCGGCTCCTTCTCCGTGTCCGAGTCGCCGAAGTCGTCGTCGTACAGCGCCTTGTCCTAAACACTCACATATATCAATCCATACATCTGTGCATTTAATAAAAGTGTATCTAATCGCTACCTGTACATGGAAGATATTTGAGAAAAACTATCAATGGTGGGGTTTTTATTTCTTTGGCTTAACCGATTTGGATGCGTTTTTCTCTAATATATTGTGGTAAGCTTCACTTAACATTTTGTATTTGTTTTATTTCAATCGGTTTATAAATAAAAAAGTTACGTCAATTTAAAGAATCAATCAATCAAAGTCCTAAGTCCTGACTAATTGATATATCAACGCACAGGATTTTAGACTTTTGAGGGTTATGGGGGTTGAATTTTTTTTGAAACTTTCTATTCTCTAGGTCGATTGGCTCAAAAAATTGGTACACATACTATTCAATTAAAATTATAAGACACGTATATCAATCACTCTTTTTCCAAAATCATCCCCCAACAGTTTTTTGTAACCATTTTTGTAGTCTTAACGCGAGCGAAGCAGCAGGTTGTGCTAGTTAATATATATACTACCACTATCTACTACTACCCGGCTGACCCGGCAAACGTCCTGTGCCATTCAATACATTAAAATTTTAATCTTTGAAGTTGTACAAAAATTTATTGAAATAAGCACTTTCAGTTTCTTCTGAATTTCCTAATTTACCAATAGTTACATTTCTAATTTTTTTTCTCTAGAAAAATTCAGACTACTAAACACGATTAAAAATTATAATAATAATACAGTTAAAAAAGTTTATTTAAAAGGAAAAGAGATAATATGCTTATGTTAATTTAATTCCTTTTTTTTCCTGTTGATTTTAACTATTTCTTTTAACAATAAAAACTTAAATAAAAAACATACGTTTTTGCCGGTGTTCTTTACATGCAGCTTCTTAGATGTGATGTAGTCAAACAGCTTGTCGTACTCTCCCTTCTCTATGCTGCTGAATGTGTGGACGCTGCCCGCTTTTAGTTCTATCTCGAAATCGAAAGACCTGGAAAAAGGTAGAAAAATGTTATATTTATATCTAATTTAGATTAATTATTATAAAATGTGATGTATGAATTCAGTATTTACAATAAGTAGTTATGCTCCAAGCTAGTAATATACTGTGGTACAAAAGTCACAGTCATACATATTGTAAAGCCTATAGTTTTTTTAACAAATGAAATTTCTAAGATTAAGTGAAAAGAAAATTTCAAGTGGGAGATTAGTATAGTACCTAACTACATAAACCAATTTTGACAAACACAAAATAATATTTGTATTACGAAACTTGAAATATTTCTTTGAAGAATAAATATTGAGTTGATTTCTGCAGCAATACCCCCGAATGAACAAGTGCCCTATAATATAAGATACTGTGAAAGTACCTTAAATATAAAATAGGTGACTTTTTGCCATACAGTTACAGTACCATACAAAGCATCATAAGTAACACTCTCAATCTACTTAATCTATCAAACTCTATACATATTATATAGATAAACGTAAAAAACAAAATCTTATTTAAATACAAAATTTCATCTAAATTGAGTTGTTTCCGAGATGAATAAAAATTCCTCATTTAATATCATAAGATTATAGCAGTAGATAATACTAACTTGGTGGAGGAGGTGCCGCCGCGCGCGAAGTTGACGGAGGCGATCTCCTCGAAGCGGATGTGCACGGGCGGCTTGTGCACGTAGATGAAGCCCTTCTCCAGCGGGTACAGGTAGCCCGCCGCCGCCTTGTACGAGCACGCGATCGCCGGCGTCTTGTGGTGTCTGTAGCACAGAACATATAGCTTTTATATAAAACAAAATCGCTATCTGCGTCAGTCTGTTTCTCCGCTTACTTCTTTTAAACCACGCAATGGGTTTTGATACCGAAATAATGAGAAACGATGAAGGTTTATGTATATAATTTGTAAATATTTTATACAAAATGACTGAGCCTAGACGGTCTTTTATCCAAAAACTATACGATACGATATACGATTGCACGACTAACGACGCTAAACCTTTAAGAGATTTTAAAAAGACCAACAGAAAAGTCCGCAATAGCATGTATAATGTACCATATGTCTCCTAAGATACGGTCACAATAACTATTTTTATCTATATCAAAGTACCCGAGCGCAGCGAAGGTAAGTCGTTAGTTTATAATATAGCAAAAATAATTAGAATATAAACAACGCACACAATACAAGTAATAATGCTATTTATACAATAAGATTTCGTCTTTAGCTCTTTGCACACTGAATACTTACTTTAAGAGACAAACTAGATATATTTTTCAAAATAATGATGTACAGACAAAATACATCTTTGACCAGTTAATGGTAAAATAATTACCATTTTTCAAATTACATGTTACAGATGTAATGAATGGATTAAATGTATGATTAATGAAATGTATTAACTTTTTACGCATTCCAATGGTAACATAATTATATATTTCTCATATTAAAAAATAGTCTTTGCCCGCGGCTTCGCGCCCGTAATGAGACAGATTTCGGCCGCGGCGGCCAATCTCACTGAGACTAGCCTACTTCCCCGGCGATACTACAGTGCAGAGCGTGATTGTGTGCGCGCACACACATGGTGCGCTATTCCCATCATTCATACTGCGGTGGGACGACCATTCGACAGACGTTTCCCCACGTGCTCTTTAAACATAGGGGGCAAAACACCGCCACCTTCCCATAGCCGGGTTGTTACTGATTACGTAACAGAAAATCTCAGTACCTAGGACTGTGGCATCTGCAGCCGTACACGCTAGCCAGATCCGAAGCCGAGACAGTTTGTTACAGCCTTTCACAATTTTTTTCGTATTTAATAATATCATTATCAGAAGTCTTATAAACAAAGCCACTGTTCCTTGACACTAAAAATATTATCAATTACTTATAAGTGTCAAAAAAATATCGTATTTATTAGTATTAACTAAGTGTTTATACCTAATAGATAAGAAGACACACATGGAAAAATTAAGAATCAGACAGCAAAACGTAAAACAAAAAAGTAAGGTGCTTTAGAGTAAAGAGAGCAAAAACTATTATGACTTTTGTAAATATATAAAATGATTTACCCTAAGAAATCACCAGGGCCTGTGACTCTTCTGTTGATGACAACTTTCATAATCTTAGCTAGCACTTCGTATGTGGGTCCTGACAGCTCTTTTGTAATTTTGCCTTCATATTTGTCTTTTAACTCCTCCCTAAAATACCAGATAAAATAAAATTAATAAATAATTTAAATATTAATATATATCAAAAAAAATCAAATAATCCATTTTTTTTAGATACTAGCTGACAAAACAAACCTCGTTCTGTCAAGTGTATAAGCAGGTTTAGAAAAATAGTGATTTAGCATCACAACATTTTTATTTATTTTTTCAACTTTCTGCGCACAATAGAAAAGTAGTATAATGCCCAAACCCTAAAAAAGTGTCTAAATGAAATAAAAACGATGACAATCAATAAAAATAAAATTACATATTTTGTGTTAGTTGTATTCATATAGTAGTTCACATAGTACTCATTTAAGCGATGTTTACTCTGTAATATCTCGTAAACGTGATAACTTAGGACATTATATTACAGTATATTTTTTTAGTTGTTTAAGTGTCTTCAATCCATACATACCAATTAATGGAAGAAAAATCAAAATGGCGGCGGGATATTGCTAATGCCACCTCATCATAACAAGTGAATGAATGAATGAATAACTCTTTATTGTACACCCAAAAAGAGAAAAGAAAATATACAAAATGAAGAAGAAGGTATAAGAGGCGGCCTTATCGCTAAAAGAGCGATTTCTTCCAGGCAACCTTTAGGTGTAGGAAATATTACTAAGATAGAAGGGGCGCGAATAACAAATAAAGAGACAGCAGAAGAGTATATATTTATACATATATGTATCATACAAATATAATATATAACAAAACATTTGTCATAGCTATAAAGAAAAATGTATAATATGAATATAAAATATGATATGGCTTACTCTGTAAATGGCAGCTCTAGACTGGTTTCCTCTTCAATGCCAAACAATAGCACCAAGTAGTGATATCTTGTTTGACCCTGCTTGATCGGAGGGTCTAATGACACTACAAAGAACATTTGCCTCGTATCCTTGTGTGGTAGCAGAAATAATCGTAGAACTGTCGACATCGGGATTTTGTAGTCAAATGTTTTACCATGGAGTTGGAAAAATGTTTGGAAAACTTTGATGTCGTACCTACCACTGAAATGACAGATCAAGTATTAATTTACTTTATAAAAACCTTTTCTTCTTTTTTTTAAAGAGATAAAAGCAATAAAGCATATCATAGTATTTTAAATGCAATAAATTCTAATATATTGTACCGAGGAGTAAGACACTGTAGTTCTCTGAAGATGGCAATGGCGTCGCCCGATACCGATATGACAGAGGCCTTGTTCATGACCTGTTGGTGGAATGCTTCTACCGCGTCCATGTCGCCGGCCAGCTCACTTGTGGGTATGTGGAACCGCATTTCCATTAATGATACTGGTGTGTCATCATTCTAAAAGAAAATGACCCAATTATTATTAAAATATATGTATTTAGTTTGCATATATGGATACATAAAGCTTATTAGCACTTGAAATATTGTTTAAAACCACATTGGCAATATTTTATACTCCTAACTTTTGGTATTATTTTTAACAAAGAAAATATATATATGTACAAAAAAACACAATTTTCTTGACCTTTTAATTATTATTTAGACATATATTTGCTTCGGCCTCAGCCTTATAGCCTACCATAATCCGAGTTGAATCTGTGACCAAGCCAGAATTTAACATAATGCATTAAAAATCGTAATGCCAAGACAGTCTACACTCCAGATGAATTTCATTATGGTGTGTTATGGTTACCTACAAACTGTTTATAAACTTGATGATTCTATAACCTATTATTTTTAAACTATGATTACATATTTCAGAACTCTGATTTGGTCTGTCTACTATATTAAAAAGTGTGGGCAACATTTTTTCACAGAACAAATATTAAATAATTCATTGATCACACTGCTAAAGTACTATTCTGTCTGGCTAAGGACACCATCAAAATGTTGTGTTATATACTTTTGAGGTAAACTGTAAAGGATCACTTTAGAATTTCTTTTTACTTAACTACATTTGTAAGCTTATGGTTTTTTAAAATAAATATGAATATAATTTTGTAAAATTTGTCAAGACAAACACTGATCTCCTTAATTTATATAGAGGAAAACAGTGATTTGACTCATTTCTAGGATACAGTTATATAAAAATGAATTCTAAATCTTACTTGATGAAACTCTAATGTGACTTCATTCTTGCCTGTGTTACATTGTGATACATAATGTAGAGGAATCTCAAAAGCTGTGTTAGATCCGACATTGAAGCTGAGCACAGCCCCATTAAACTTAGCTGTACCCCAGTTCCAGCCTTTTAGTGACAGCTCCTTCTCTAACATGTCTTTGTTGTAGTTGTTCTTGAAAAACTTTGCCACTTTATCTTGCTCCTGAAATTACAATAGCTTTTAAAAAACATGTGAAGTTCTTAATAAAATCCAAAGATTTCACTCAAACTCCAAATAAGTGTTATTTAATATGGGAAATATAAAGGCGAAAATAAATATGCCTAAGAATGCCAGTTTATAGATGGCAGGCAAGTAGATTGCACATTTAGTTATTAGCATGCAATCTGCACTAGTTGATTTGGGACTTGTGAGTATTGACATTGCATACCTAAATGCTCAGATACGAAAACTACAGGTATCAAAGTATTTATTTCTTTTTAATTTTATTTTCATAATACTGTTAAAAGTACCAAAAAATTTGTTCTAAAATGATTTGTTTAATAACATCTGGGTAGCTGACTTCACTAATCAATTGAAATAAATATGCCGTATATATTTCCTTATAGATTTTGTGTAGCACTTATTTGCCAAGACAAATAGCAAGTATTTATCAATTTCTAAGCAACTAAAAAACAAATTCTACAGTCAAATGAATTAAATTAGGTTTTATGTTCGAGACATTGTGTCTGGAAATTATTTGTTAATGGAGTCACCTACTGGTTCTAATCTAATCTTTTGTTTGTTGCAATTGAATTGCATACATTCTCAATCCTTGAGTGCATTATTTTCTCTTTGTAAGTTGTTTTTATTCAATTATTTTATAGCTTATATAGATATATATGTTACTCATACCATACATTCATTTATTATCCTTCATAATTTATTACTAACACAAAATATCTTCAGACTTCATATGAACTTAACTAAATGAATAAGAATGCAACTTAGCAAGATCAAGTAGACCTTAATGTATTACTTCTACACAAGATTTCAATTTTACTTTGTTTTCTTTAATTCTACTACATTTTATTGTTATTATAATATTCAATGTCACAGCAACATATTTTATCTAAATTTATAATAATACAAAAGTTATCTTACCCCTTCCTTGAAGCCACCATATCTGTGCAAAGTACCATTTTTTAAAAATACCCTAAGCCCCCAAGATCCAATAAACTTTTGAAAATTGACAAGTTCAATCTCATTAGCTGATATCTGTTCCACTTTTCCAGTTTTGCTGTTTTTGAATATAATATTCTGATCTGTCATTTTTAATCTTCCTGGCACCTTAATAGATATCAGAATTTACTTAAAGTATGTTGTATAATTCATACAAAATGTTTTAGTATATAATGTACCTAGTCTATACCTATATATAATAAAATTGTAACTAAGCCGAATCTGTACATAAGATATGTTTTGGAAAATCTTATTGAAATAAACATTATTATCGATATAGAGTCCAAATCTATAGATTTTAGAATTTTTGTCTGTCTGTTAATGCATCACAGAAAAACCACAGGAGGGATTTTGATGAAATTTGATAAGGTTATAGGTGGTTATCCGGGTCAACATATAGGATACTTTTTACCGCGGGAAAATGTCTCATTTCTGAGAAAAAATACAAAAACTGCAATGTAAGAGTATACTAATATGTAAAACCTAAGAATTTGGTTTTTATTCATCTGAACGCCAGCGGCGCCGCGGGCAATGCTAGTATAAAATATAATAATATGAAAAGCTCTTCCATAATTTCAAAGACTTCTTTCTCTACCATAACAAAGTATGTAAACACGCATGGGAAATCTTTTCCTTTGTTTAAAAGAAATATTTCATATATTTGACGAATTATGAATCGTAAATTAATTTTATTTAAATATTTAAGTAAAAAGAAGAGTGGAAATATACATAAAATTGAACAAAGATATATGCATATATCAAGCTTATTTGTTTCTGTTTAGAACCTACCATAGCACCTTTAATCTCCGCAGACACATCGTTATATTCTAAAAATTCCATAGCTCTATTCTAGTAGAAAGTTTCTATGTATTTTTTTTATTTGGAATCAATTACAAATACCTAAATTATACCACGCGCGGCACCAGACTCGCGGAATGAAAATTGAAAAACGTCAGTTGTCACTTGTCAAATTTTACATTCATTCAAAATTTCAAACAGAGCGCAATCATAAAAAATCGATTAAATTACGTCAAAACTTAATCGAATCAATCAAATAAGATTGGGGAAGATTTCTTAAAAGGAGGGCGCTACACGTATGATCTTTTTAATTTAGTCTGGGGTTAAGCAATTTATTATGAAATCTCTTCTGTACCTAGTCTTTTCCTTCTATTGTATTCTGAAGAAAGAATTGAGAAAGAGAGGTGCATTCTGCGGTGGTCCTGACAGACTAATAGATCAATACACAGCCTAAACCATTGGTCGGAGAATTTAGAAACGTGAAATTTGGAGGACGTATTCCATATAATATATATATTATATGGCATATTATATAGCATCCGATAAGAAAGGACGTTTCAAAATTTATCTTCTAGTTTGCAAAATAGGGGATTAAAGATTGTATGAAGCTCTGGCATTCTAAATGTGAAATACACAGGAAGTAGTGTTTAGCTTTAAAATAAGACATATGTATTTATTTGATTTTTTCGAAATTCATCCCTGGAAGGAGTAATAGGGGGTAATAAAATAAGTTATATGGGCAAAGAATTATTTATGATCAGAATTTCTTGACTTGGTATCAAATAAGGCGCTTCAGTATCAAATAAGGCAGTGGTAGTCCAGTGTTAACGCGCTCGCTTGGGAAACCGAGTGCAGCGGGTTCAAATCCCGGGTCTAGCACCTCTGACATTTTTATGTGCGAATCATTTCTAACTTATTGCCACTTGCCATACGGTGAAGGAAAACATCGTGAGGAAACCGGCATGTCTGAGAGAATCTAACATGTTTTCAAAAAACGTGTGAAGTCCGCCAACCCGGACTAAGCGTGGTGGACCTGATCCCCCTCGTATTGAAGGCAGGCCGTACCCAGCAGTGAGGCATTAAAAAGATCTCAATATAAATAAAAAATATATTTATATGCACCTGTAGACGATTTAAGTTTTAGAATCACTTTTTTTTAAAATAATGTCCACATAGCCTTAAATATAAAGATTATGATTTCGCCAATTTTGGTCGTTATATTGCTTGAGCGCATAATTTCTTCAGATTTTGTCTTTAGGGACTAAATTAAATCCATTTTCTTTGCATCCAGGAACTGTACAAGTTGTCATCTTAATTAAATTTTAAATAAAATGAAAAATATCCATCCACGCTATAGAGCTTTTTCAATAAATACAAGGGGGCCATAATGATCGTGACATCTGGCGGGAGAAAAAGGCAAAATTCTTTCCCATTCGTTTGAGACCGTCTCACTATAGAGAGAAAAATTCAAAATGACATTTTTTCCCGCTGATTGTATTTTTGCTGTGGTATTTATCGATATGTATGCTTAATCGATAAGAAATCGATATCAATTACTTTAATGGCTGTCAAAATTACATTATATGTCGGCTTTACACTCTCGTATGTGGTTGGTTGCTATTCGCGCTTAGCAAATGTTGCTAAAATGCTAATACAACAAATATCGACGAATGCTCACGACGAATATTCACATGCTCATTTTAAATATTGTTTTTCTCGGCATATGAAATGAAAGATAATTAATATTATTTCATCAGTGTAAAAGCAAGAATTTATTTTTTCAAATATATTAATAACTATTTTTAATTAATTCACGCACAAAATCATGCTTCGGAGTGAACAGTAGTGAGCAGTGCATGCAGTGAGTTTGCATCGCGTTGCGTTACGTAGATTTTCCGAGAATGTAGAGCCGTCAGCCGATATTGCAAAACAACGAGGAATGTACTACAAAGTAAGCATGGAAATGATTGCTACTTTTAAATCATTATCACGTGATAAAATTACAACAATTTTTCACGTGATTTCACCTGCTACTTTTCACGCATAGATTTTTGATTTCGACGGTCTGGTGTCACACTTTATATTATTTGCTATTAAAATGAAGTATGAAATGTCACCAATGGCGCTACTGATGTGATATGGAGCAGAGATATAGATCTGACGTAGTTGCATACGTACATGGTGCTTTGAATGAACCTATTTTCAAACAATGAACTTTCCCTCATACTTCTACAGGCTTGGGACTGACAATGTAAAATTAAATGAATTTTAAATATATCAGAGTAATCACACGGTAAAATTGTATTAAGCTAAGTTCCATAATTGCATTGGCGTATTTAAAAGTTCATTGTTTTTATGTACAATAAGAATTTTTCTGTGGAATAATGCACGATCAGCAAACCATTTCAATTGGAGAGTTACAGGATATCTAGAACCCAGAAATTTTAATTATTTATAAATCTTTATAATTTTTAAAAACTTTACTAACAATATTTTTTTATGAATAAATTTTGAAATTAAATAATAAATAAAAAATAGGTAATTTAAAAATGAAAAGTAACGCCATCTTTCACGTTAGTGTGACGTCGTAATGCATATATTATATTTTAAAATCAATTGCGCGAATGATTTATTAAATCATAATCTGTACGTATTACACATAATCATTCAGTAAAAATTATAAGTATTTGTTGCATAAAAAACTAAAAATGTGCTCTAAATTTAATTGTTGTTTCTAATTTAAAATTATTTCTAAACAATATTTCTAAGAATCCGAAATCATGCAACTCGAAATAAATAAACTCCCCAATTTACTGATCAACGGTATTAACTGAAAATTGTATTTTGTTGAATAAAAAATCAATAAAAACATCAGTACGAAAATGTATACGGAAAATGCGAGTAACGAAATGCATTCGTGAGTAACGTTTCGGTACTCGGTACTAGATGGCGTACCCGTTACTCAGTAACGAATACATACGGTTTGCTACAGCTCTAGATTTCACCAAGTTGTGATTTGTAGCAGCCACTATGAATTTAAGTAGCAGGTGTGACGTATGATTACGCATTTCACGTGATTTTTCACTTGCTACTCGTGAAATGTTCCATCCCTAGAATGTACTACAAAGTACGACATGACATTTTGAGATTTCATTCATTTTTTAGTTTGGTTTCATATTCATTGATGATTGACGTGCTAAAGTGTAATTCTGATTTATTACTAAAACTGTGTTCGATATAAATTGCGAAAATTTGTGCTGCAATAATTCGAAGATTGACTACCATGTGTTATTGTGAGTGTATATTTTAAAAGTGTTTCCTTAGATAAACTTTCCATATACTGGCGAAACCGTAGTACATTCCGGCTAAATCAGTGGTCCTTGATCCTAAGTATTTCGTAGGTGTCCTTTGCATGTGCAGTTCCTATGGCGTCATTATCGTTACCACGAGTGCTCCAATTAAAAAAGAACAGTGTAGATGCTGAAAGAGAACAATTTGAAAAATTTCAGGTGGGTATGTAAGAACAATATACCTAGTTGTTGTTACGGAATGTCTACTTACACTAAAATACGTGAAAATTAATTTAATAATATAAATTATACTAAATCGACACGACACTACTGCGAATTGATTAATGTTTATGTATATTACACATTTTACACTACATGAGTGCAAAGTTGAGAAGTGAATAGAATAATAAATATCTTGCTAGTTTTGCATTTCTAAGTTCTATTGGTTTTTCCAGTACCATATTCTACCAAATGTTATTATTCTTAGCTATTGAAGTATAGATAAATCTCTAACGTTTAAGCGAGTACAGACACTTCAATAGAATACTTCAATGTTTCTATGATAACAATAAATGTAGTCTAAAGATTTATAATAAAAGTAACTTTTAAGAAATATGCAAATATACATATAATTTAAGTGAACCTTAATAATTTAAATTAATAATATTAATCTGTTGTCAATAAAATAAATGTACCATCATTATTGTTATTATGAAATATCAAGTGTAACAATATACATAGCCTAATTTTTTCCCATAAAATATTAACTTTATAACTTTACAAAATTGTATTAGGTACTAGTACATATAAGCTATTTAACTGTCATAATATTGCATACATCATATAGCTCTTCTCCCACCTACACATACAAACTATCTGTTTGAATACCATAACTTGTAAATGTGTAAACAAATTATTAAGGTCTTTATTTGTATGTATTTTAATACCATTCAATGTATTGTCATGTGTTTTTTTGATTTCTTAAAGCCATTTTCTAGAATGGTTCCTATAATTAATTTTTAACTTATTATAACATACACCAATATCTAGAACACTTAAAATTAATTATTCCATTTCAGGATTCCTTTTTTAATTCATATAGGACTATGTTTAATAAGATATAAACTATGTATTAATCCTTCGTCGCCCACAGATACACCGGCGTGTCAGTTAACAATAGATTTCTTAGAATTTTAATTAATTTCTTATAAAATTACCTGGAGGTGTTACTTTAAAAAAAAAGATATATAACCTTGACTCAAATAAAAGCTTTTTAAAAAAAACTGACTTCAAAAAATAAACACTAAAAGGCAAAAAATAATTGATTATCAGTTTTCATTTACTATAGATACCTATTATATATATTAAGATATTTTCGAAGTCCAAAGAACCAAAACATACAGGGGAATTAAGAACCTTCTCCTTTTTGAAGTCGGTTGAAAAACATTTGACCAAATTGAGTACCTCTTTTTTCAAGTTGGATTTGGATTGGCAAAAAGAGAGTTGACATGGTTTAACACTAATATGTAAAACTAGCGACTCACCTTTGCTTCGCTCGGGATTCCTGATCCCCATACAAACTTTCATCCCCATTTTCACCCCCTTAAGGGATGATTTCCGGGATAAAATCTCAATCAAAGGATCTCAAACTATCTTCTTACCAAATTTCATCTAAATTGGTTCAGTAGATCCAGATATTACCCCCTACAACGTCATAAACTCACAATCTCTCTCTTCTTTATCTCTTTATAATATTAGTATAGATAAAATTAAACATTCATACACTAATATTTAAAATAGAATTAAACAACATATATTTACAAGAGTAAATATAGTATTACTTAATTAAAATGAGGATAAAATGAAAATGTGTCAATGCTATTTATTGAGTACCCAGCACAAACTTATTTCTGCTGATCAAGAATAATATGTAAATACTAGCATTGCCCGCGGCTCCGCCCGCGTCCATATGACCAAAAACCAAATTCTTAGGTTTTACATATTAGTAAGTATACTCTTACAATGCAGTTTTTGTATTTTTTCTCAGAAATGAGACATTTTCCCGCGGTAAACAGTATCCTCTATGTTGAACCGGATAAACAGCTATCATCATACTAAATTTCATCAAAATCTGTCCAGTGGTTTTCTCGTGATGCGGTAACAGACAGACAGACAGACAAAATTTTTAAAAACTATAGAATTGGACTCTGTATCGAGAATAATGTCTATTTCAATTAGATTTTCGAAAAAATATTTAATGTACAGATTCGACTTAGTTACAATTTTATTATATGTATACTTAGATAGATAATATCCCAGACTTGGATCCGAGTAGATTCTTCTTCTTCTTGCATGGTTTTTTTGCACTTTGGCAATTATTGCCCTTTGTCTGTGAGCTTTGTGCTATTTATGTGTGTGTCATGTGTGTTATTCTTTCCACCCCAGGGTGCTCCAGAAGTCTAGCAGTAGCCAGTTTACGAAGGAATATAGTATTATGCAGTCGGAGACATACACGTTTCATCCTTGCCTCGAGATTTACATACTCGTATGTATGTCTCCGACTACATAGTACTATATTCCTTTGTGAACTTGTTTTCATCTTTTTAGTTAGCTTTTATGCAGTCGGGTTTTTTATTTTTATAATATATTTATTTATTGTCTACTTAAAGTAGGTATGTATATATTTACATCTATACTAATATTATAAAGAGGTAAAGTTTGTGAATTGTGAGTCTGTGAAGTTGTTGGGGGTCATCTCTGATCCTAAACCGATTTAGATGAAATTTGGTAAGAAGATAGTTTGTGATCCTGGGAAGGACATAGGCTACTTTTTATCCCGGAAATTATACCTTAAAGGGGTGGAAATGAAAGTTTGTATGGGGAATCAACCTAGGGACGAACCCGAGCGAAGCGAGGGTGAGTCGCTAGTAATATATAAAAATATATTAATATAACAGACAGTTATAATACATTTGTCATTGTTTTATGTTTTTGATATATAATAGATAATATTTTGCTATCGTTCATTAGATTATGGATTGTTGTGAAAACTTGACGCATTCGATAACGTTATCTATAGAATTCTACCAGTTTCATTTGTTTCGCTACGGCTTAGAACTTATTGGTGTCAATATAGGCAATTAATTAGTGTGTTGGTTCCTTTTTTTGGCAATTAAATAAGCTGGTAAGTGTAATAAACACATTTATAAAATTTCTTGCAAAATCGAGGTGTTACGTTGTATTTAAAATATATAGTTTTGTTGAACATGAATTGAATTAACATATTTGCGAAAAAATCGTGGTACGGTTTGTGTTTCGGAACAGTCTCGGGTCAGACTATATGATTGTTATCTTCCGCCCATTGCTCCATCGTTTATATCTGTTCCCGTTACATTTTCATGTTCAATGAATTTATGTTCGCGGTGGTATCCGTTTTGTCTGACCACGTTTGGTTAATTTTGCTAAAGCCTGCAGATAGGAAATAACAAAATACAATAAATAAATAAATATGTTTTTTGATAAGTCACAAACTAATTTTTTACATTATTAAATAAAACTGCTGCATTATCGTAAATAGAGGTGTAACTACAGTTTGTAGTTATATTATCAATGCTTCTCGACTTATGGCGAATACTTATTTTTATTCAATATACCTTTAGACAAAAAATATTGTAGATCATAAAATTATCTACAAAAATAGTAATAGGTACTTTCTTTCCTAACAATCACTATTCCTAAAATATTGCGATTCTAAAAGTTGAAGGTGTTACATTCTATAATCTTCTGAATATGTACGTTGTTAGAAAAGGATTAGTTACACTAAAACTCATAGTTTGACGTAAATCAAAGATTTTTATTTTTTAGCAGAGAATTTAGGTTATAACTACTCTGTCATTGCTATCAGATATAGATCTTTATACTTCTTATTTAGATAAGTGTATAGTCTTTGAAATATTATTATTATAATTAAAAGTAAGTTAAGTAATTAAAAAAAAATGTAATAATTCAACGATATTGTTGCTTAAAAATAAAAGAATCATTTTTTATTATCCAAATGATTAAAATAAAATTCACTATAGTATAATAGGTAATTATTTATAACATAAAATGAACATTATTTAAGATTTTAAAATTTTAATAAACAACAAAAATTTGTAAAGTAAGATGTAAATCGAAGTTCACATTATGCAATGAAGAAAATCATTCAACAATCCGAAATAGAAATAGATTTTTAATAATAAATTTCGACTTGTAAAATATTACGTAAGAATGGGTTTTACCCCCCTCCCCCAGATAAGGGCATGTATAGATTTCCTTAACCCTTACGTAATGAATGGCTCAACCATTATCTATAAAAAAAATGAGAAGAGACATGAAGCAGCACTTAAAAAGTCAATGCGAATAATATATATATATATATATATATATATATATATATATATATATATATATATATATATATATGTATGTACATATATAATCGAAATAAAATATCAAGAATAATCATCATTTAATTGTAATCCTTTAATACTTCGTGCTTCACCTGCGTTATGCGTATGAGTCATTTAATTGCATCTTTTAAATTACACTTTGGTATTCAACAAGTTGATTGTTTAGTGTATTTATATGTATTAATAACGTTGAGCATAATTTTGTATTCTTGGCCTTCTTTCTTATCGTTTGTTGTAATATATTATGTACAATAAATATTTTGTAAAAAAACTTGTATAACATCTGCAGTGTATTTGCAACTTACATGGAAAATCTTAGCTGATTGATATATTGTAAACCTTGTATGGTCTATTTAACCAACAGAAGATTAAGACATTAAGATTAACTTTTTTTTTTCAAAATTGATTTTATTTCAAACCGAAGTTAGGAATTAATAGACTTGTCACGTATTGATAAATATAAAACTAACAAAACCTTAAAATATATCAAATTGACTTATTTTTCAGGGTTCCGTACCTCAAAAGGAAAAACAAAACGGAACCCTTATATACCTTATCACTTTGTTGTCCCTTTGTCCGTCCGTCTGTCTGTCAAGACCCTTTATCTCAGGAATGCATGGAGGTATCGAGTTGAAATTAAAACGAATATACTCAGGTCTACAGTCTCTTGAAGCTGTGAAAAAATCAAACTTTTAAGTTAACGTAAAAAAAAAGATACGGCCGTTTATGCCGCAAAAAACGTATATTTCGACACTCTCATTGGAATCA